GCTTTCGTAGACTTGGTATCATTCTAGTTGCGATATGTTGTATTTTCTCCAATTTTTCAGTTTCCCACTGGGTTATCGGATGGTAAGCTGGGGCACCGTATTCAAGGATTGGTCTAATGAGCGAGGTGAATAGACGAGGGACGGTTTCTTCGGACCATGTGGAGAAACTGCGTCTTAATGCCCAGAGCATACGAAGTCCCGCACGGTACAATTTCTCTGTATTTTCTAGTGGTCTTAAATCATATCGTGAGAGAACTCCTAAGTCTCTGACAGATGTGTTGGGATGGAGCAACTGGCCGTCCAAGGTGTATGATCGAGTGGCTGGACGTCTGGTGATACTGATGAACTCCGACTTGCTTGCGTTAAGAGGGAGTTGCATTTCAGTGGACCACGTTGACAGTCGCTCTAAGTCATGCTGGAGGCTAGCGCAGTCGTCTTGGTTTTCAATGATCCTCCAGATTTTCAAATCATCTGCAAACAGGACACATGGTGACTGGAGCTGCTGCGGAAGATCGTTGATATGGATAAGAAATAATACTGGCCCAAGTACAGTTTCTTGAGGCACGCCACTAGTCGATGGGAACCATTCTGTCAGATAGTCATTGACCTGTACTCTAAACCTTCATCCCCCAATAAACTCTTGTATCCACTGAAGTAACGTGCCACCGATTCCGTATGTCCTCAGTTTACGAAGGAGTACCTTGTGGTTCACTCTGTCAAACGCCTTACTAAAGTCGATGTACACCACGTCAACATCCTTCTGTTCGTTGTGAGCTCGAACCCACTGGTGGTTTGCGTACATCAAGTTGGTGGTGCAGGACCGCCCTTTCGTAAAGCCATGTTGCGCTGGCGTCAATACGTCCATCGATTCGAAGAACGACAGCAGACACTTTTTCACAATCTTCTCGAGAACTTTGGATAATACCGAAGTCAAACAGATCGGTCTATAGTTCTCTATTTTACTCGGATCACCACCCTTGGGAAGCGGTTTAACTATCGAGCATTTCCAGTCGTTCGGAACGATAATTGATCAAAACAGATTGAATTTCGAACTTGATAGTGGAACGGCGAAACGCTGAGTCGACGCAGCTCTGCTGCGGCCATGGTACACGAGCAAGAGCGGGTGCAGTGTCACGAAAAGTAAAGATAATGTGGAAGACTAAAAGCCACTAGAACGAGCGAAGACCGAAACAAGCACAAGCATCATGGACGAGATCAGACGGTGCAACGTAACTCCCATAGAACGAGCAGAGAAAAGATGGCGATCGACGAACGGTGACGGGCCTGAGTCAAGGACTATAGCGAAGGTATTTGTGGAAAGGCCAATGAATCAGCCAGAAACGCCTTTGTCGGTGCATCCAGCAGCAACCCGAAGCCTAATAAGGCAACCGCGATCAAGAAAATCAAGTGACGTAGAACAACGCCAGGCTGGTCATTATGCGATTTACGAAAGCGAAGCTTCGGAGTCAGACTGGCAGACAAGACTCCTCTCCAGTTGGGGAGGAACGACGCGCGAATGTTACATGTAGTACTTCCCCATGTATGTTGCGTTGTAGACGGAAACATGATCGATACATGCGCGCGTGCGTGACAGCTTGGTTAACTATTGTCGCGTGCAATAATGATTATGCTTTCCTGCCGCTTCGTCCTTGCAACTATGCTTTCCTCTGGCCAGTCGGACCGAGGCGATGGACTCCTCCGAGATAGCTTATTTCTGCTTTCTTTGAATCCATCTGCTACAGTGTTTACTTGGCCAAAGCCTTCGCATTTCCGTAGCCCAGCGCCATTTGCATTTGTCTGCTTTTGCTTTGGCTCAGCGTTGTGCTTGTAATGCATCTTTTGCTCATTGCGCTAGCAGTTGCTGAGAATCAGGACCGATTTCTTTCTACTGGTAATGGAAATATCGTTTGACTCTGCGTACACTTTCTATCGCCGACCGGTGACCAAATAGATTACACTCATAACTTGCAATACGGAAGTCGCTTTTTCGAATCCACATAGTTGTGGGCGACCTGATGCACCCACCCCGTGTGCGACTAGTATGGGTCGCGTAGCAGCGAAGCGCCAGCACGACGTACTGCACGGCGTACTGCTGGCGTCTTACCTACTATTTCGGGCCGAAACGGTTGTAAGTTCCTTCGGTGCATGAATGTTATGGGGAGGGAACTTGCAAAGTTGACTCACTTTTTGATATGCGTGCTAGTTGTAGTTAGCAGTGTCCAATGCATTCCTCGGAATTTCATCCGATATGCGCGTGCGGAGCAAGACATTGTAGTCTCTGTATTCTCAGTCCTTGAACTGCCGTAACTGACCCCTCCGGGAACTTCACGTATGCTAGGTGAATAGTTTAAGATAACATCGACTCAACACAAGTTATGGTAGATCGATAGCATACGTCAGTCATACCTGTAAATCTCCAGACTGCTGGTTTACGTTCGTCTAACTACTGGCTCCTCGAGTCTAGTGTTGCTTCCTCGTGCGCGGTCTCAGTTTAGAATTCCGAGTACTTCGTGAAGAATTTTCTAGAACGTGTTGACAGCATCTGCCGAATTCTTTTGTTCATTTAAGACATGCTAGGCTTAAAGGTATTCAGACTACACCACTTAAAATTGCCTTTGTAACTGTCGTCATCTAGGGAATTATGGTGAAGTAAATCGACCAATACTAACTTGCGGCATGGAAGAGGGCAACTTCTTTAGTTAGTTGCGCCACTTGACGTGTGATACATTCCGCACTACTATCAACATAACGTCTTAAAAAGGGAGTTTATTGATGATAATCACAGGGTATTCTGAACTCTCATTAGGCCAAATTCAAGCGTGCTTTTTGACGTTTATTTTGCTGCACGAAAGTGCCATTGTGCATGACATTGCATTCTGACGGTAGCCAGCTTCCCTTTCTCGGGCATATATTGTTTGACGTTTTCTACAACAGCAAATCCTTGTTGTTGTGAACATCCAATGATTGCCTTCATTGACCGCGTCCAACGTCCATGAAAACCTTAAGTCATATAGTCAAACGACTGTTTATCGCGTAAATTAACCACACTGCTGATGTGTCCGGTGTCGGCTCAATTGAATATCCATTGGAATGCTTTTCCTACTGAGTATCGTCGAGGAACGCGCACAGTAAGCTGCAGTTGTCCTATCATCCCGTTTTGTGTTTTCTAATGGTCTACTGTAGTTTATGATCTGCCAATGTGAAGGGCAGCTTTCTATTTATCTTCACTGCATACTAGGGAGCAAGTATCACTCGTATTGTTGTGGATTAAGAAAAGGCCACTAAATTCACTAACTTGAATTCATTACCGCTGCTGTTGTTATTTTCAAACATGCAAAACGGTTCGTCACATAGACATGCATTAGTGCCGTTAGCTCGTGAAATCCAGCAAATTCTCTTGTCCTAGTGCGATAGCGCTAAGTAATTACATGATCATCGAATCTGGATTCCTGATTGTTAACTCCGAACGGTATGAGCCCCTACTTAACGAGATGAGGTCATCTGGCGGCTATCGATTCTTTTCGCCTGTCGGAAGCGGTAGCTGCTTCTGGCTTCAAGATTGCATCCCGGATCGTTGCTATACAGTCACATTAATAAAGGAGGAGGAATTGTACCTGATCTATGCAGCCCCGTCCAGGGTTGAAATTCAGCCGGCCCGTAGCCTTAAGGATCACAAGCCTGCCTTGTGATCTGAGCGTATAGATTCTAACCTGCTTAGGGGCTGGGCGACCCTCTTAGTGTCTGTAGCCTGGATGCGATTGTTGGTGGTTGCGCGGCAGCGAAGCCTCAGTACTGCGTACTGGTGTACTGCTGATGTCATTCTTTTCTTTCCAACTGTCTCTCTCTCGTCTTATATCTCGTTCCGCGGTGCTACAAGGGATGAGACTGGAGACTAGTAACTTTGCCACTATCGGCTTCAGACTGACCCCACCGTGGTTAACCCAAATCTTACTGCTACCATTCTTAAGAATCACCGTGACGATCAGTGCACCCCAGTTGACTGGGAAATGTCTCCTCTATTCATTTCTGTTCGAAGGAACGTTTCAGCGCTGTGCTGAGAGCTTCCCCACATCCCTGTATAGCGAAAGTACAAGAAAATTCAAACCAACAGCACGGAATTTACTATATAGTTATGATGACCTTTCGTACCGCAAGATCACTTTTATCCTCTAAGTTATCTGGACATGATTACGAATCGGGTCGGACAGGACGCCAACCGAACCAAATTGCTTGAACTTTATGCTAAAGGAATGAGTCACTAATCTTTCGGTTTCTGATTTTCTTTGACCCTGATGTAATGCTCAAGTCGTTTGGCTTATACCCTTCATCACTGGTTCGTTGTCTGTGACGGTATGTTGTTAACACAAGGTGTAGGCGCCTTGACCCTGTATGTTTGCTTAGTGCATTAAGGTTTTCAGCCAAGTTCCCTTTCTTCTTCTTTATTCCATTGATCGTCATGCTTGTTTGACAACGAAGCATCAGTTCCAATTGCTGATGCCCTTTTGTTGTTGGTTTCTTGATAGACCCCTGGTTCGTGTTCCCGCTCCTCATACCCACCGTCTCGTAAATTGCACTCGACTGCTTGCGGTCCTATGCTAGCGGTTAGTACGTAGTATTTGTGTACTACTGACATTTTTTCATGTGGGGGGCTCAGGCTATTTGCGGACACGATTCAAAATCGGTTTCAATAGTAGAATCGTGTACATTTTCTGCCATACACACGCTTCCCCCGACAACTTAACTCATCGGAAATGGCGAAAGGCTCATAAACAGTAACCGAAAAAAATTCCTGTTACACACCATGCTTACCTTCGCTAAACGTTTCTCCGATGGTTTTATATATATATATATATATATATATATCACCAGAATATTATCATCTCTGATTGCCTGCCGTATCTTTCTATCATTCTTCTTGCCTACAGCTGCTAACTGCTTCCCGATCCTAAAGAAAAAAAAACAATTTTTGCTGTGCCGTCCATATCCAGTGCATTTTTATCATGGCGCTAGTGGAACGCATGAGTATTGTGGGAATCCGTAGTTTTAGCCCTGAGACGTCCCAAAAAATCGAATTCTTTCTCCCAGTTACTTTAATTCTTGGTCCCAATGGTTCCGGGAAGACCGTGAGTATTATTGTCTGTTTCACTGCGCCTTAATGCACTGTTTTTAAGTAATGTCTGAGTGTATTCATAATCTTGTTTGATTTTTCCGTTTACTCTGTTACCTAGCTATCGGCTTTTATGTGTCAGTTCGCTTCTTCTTGCCTGAATTTTCTCATGCGGATGGTGTTGCTTATACCATTTTGGCGATACCAGTGCATTTCTCAAAGCATTTTGTTGTGTAATGAATTACAGAAAACTTAATCGTATTTGTGCTTCTTTATAACTTCATTATTATTCATTATTCATTTACTGCATTAGTCCAAATTACATTGGACTATTGCCTAACAATCACCGGACTAAGGGTAATGCAAAATTTAAACTGTTATTAGAACTGAATGAAACAGAGAAAGAAAAGCGGTACTAGGGTCAGGAGATCTTCACAATATATTTGTCGTGGTATTTGGCCATCTGCGATATGTTGGCATTCACGCACCCTTGGTTTTTACGTTCTCATCTCTGTAAACAAAATCACTACACCTTGACTGTTAGCACATATTGTGTGCTACGCTCTTTGTTCTCTTTTCAAACCTCTTGGACCCTTTCACAAAGAGGATGGAGTGAATCAAACATCCGAGTCTTATTCAGGCCGCTGACAATAGCAATTGGCCAAACTTGTCTGACGTGAAACCTATAGACGAACACAATTATCAACCTTATTTTACCGCCATTTACCAAACATTATCTGATGCGGAATTGTGTATACGATTGTGATAGACTTATTGACCACACAGACAAGTTGCTCGCACCGCGTCTTCATAGGCTCCATTTTTCACAGAAAAGCTGACGTCACACCCGTGCCAGAAGTGATGCACGTTAGCGAGGGTCATTTGAGCCCTAAAAATCTGCAAATATATCCGTAACGCTCCTAGCACAAAGGCATCGAGGTTAACGACCTTATTGATCACTTCTGGCGCGTGGCCCGATGTGGAAGCGGACCCACTAGGTCGGCAGACGTAAAGGAGCTAATTACGTACGACCACCGGTACCTTCATAGGAACACCGCGTGAGCGATGAGCGCTTTCGGCGCCTTGTTTATGATACAGAAGAAGGAAGTAAACCACCCAGCACCATTGTTTCACGAACCAGGCTCCGATGGCTACGCCACGTGTTGCGCATGTTAGCACACCGACTGTTTGCGCTCCGAGGGTGTGGATAAAAGAAGAGGTTGGGTGCCAAGAGATGACATGGTCAAGAGGAATGATCTTTTGTTCGGAGTTGACATCGATCGGAGCCCCTCGGCTCCCTGGTTGATGCCTGAAAGACGACGAACACGTTTGGCTGGATGCACATGTTGACGTGGCTAGGAGTCGACCTCAGTTGTGTTTGTGTAGGTAGTTTCTTTGTCTCTCCCCCTCACGCGTAGCCTCCTTCAACCACGATCTCCTTCTCTGTGCATAATGTAATTCTTTTTTGCGGCAAATTAGCCGGCTGGTAGCTTACAGGTGTCTCAGCTGATATGCGTCTGTTGCGTCATTTTTCTTTTCTCATGGGTTGCGGCATAATAGTTGAGGTTTTTTCCACCTCTAGCTAACATGTATAATGCTGATGACTCTAGGCTATATGTGTGCAACGCAATTCCCTTTATGTTTTTATGTATATGATGCCTCTGCTTGAATTGTTTGATGGATCGAAAATTTTTTAGAACATGTGCTGATACTACTGGTCGTAGGTTTGTGGTTTGCTCGAATAATTCTCGCCGCTGTTGTTTACATTCAACAGCGAGTATTTATCCGTCTAGTGATCTCACCAACGAAATTCTTAGAATTCGGGAAGAAAGCCTCAAGGCGAACGTGTGGTGCTAATCACACAGCACCTCCATTGGGCTTCATACTAGCATAGAGTAAAATAAATAGAGTACCCATATCATTTTTCCAGTTGTGCTGTCGTTATTCAAATAAATTTTTTTGGGTTTTAACTTTCTAGTATCCTCCATCTGGGATTTATTCGATTGTTTATAGAGTACCTAATTCCACTTCCTCTTCTTGTAAAAACACCATTCTTGTAGTCCAGGTTCACACCTTGCGATCATGTTTACACCCAAAGCCGTCAAATGTAACCCGTTGTATGACCAATGTCGAGGAAATTTCGGCGACTTTTTAATCTAGCAGTTTTGCTTCACTTTACTTTTTCAGACAATCATTGAGTGTCTGAAGTATTCCACTACTGGCGATCTCCCACCTGGATCGAAAACCGGCTGTTCATTCATTCATGATCCACGAGTAGGTTCTCGTTATGTGGCATTGATAAGAAGCAGTCATACCTTTCTTACCTTTACGACATTCCGTTGTTATACCCTGGACGCTGAAGCGGTTCGGATCGACCGATCTATCTTGTCAGCTTCCGCGTGGATACTACACACCATGGTGCAGTTTCCATTGTTGCTTCCACTCAAGTCGAAGAATATCGCGAGTGGGTCGCGAACTCTACTTGCGCTTCCTGTGTGTTTCTCAGCTGCCTCATTCCATTACATCTCGTCTCAATTAGCTCCCAGCCCTGCATTTTTCACATGTTTGTTGTTTGCTCCACTTTTCTGGCTACCTAATGAGTTATTTCTTTCACTTGACACCCGCTGCCCTGCGTCGCCCCTAAACTGAACCAACTCGGCTAATAAATCATCTTGCGAAAAGTGGCTGTTGATGAAAAAATAACGTTCATTTGCCTGCACCTCGAAGCCCTGTTTGACCAATGGAACCTCGTGCATGTCGTCAGAATCTTTACACTTCAACATTCACTACATGAACACGTTCTTCACATAACCTTGCACAAACATATTCCAACATGAGTACTGTACAGAGTTTACAGTACTTCCTGGACATTCTGGAACAGCCTTTGGTGTGCCATGTCATGGCACCAGTCGCGGCACCTTTGAATCACGACGTCCCTAGTTTTCCATCCTTGCACGCTTTATTTTTTTTTCCGGTGTTGTAATCTCTGCTTTGCCTCACGAATCACAAGGCGTGCCGTCTCGAAAATTGTCTCCGCCTGTTTTTTGGAAATTAGACGCTTGTCTTCTTTTCAGTGCAATCCTAATGGCTCAGAACCTTTTCCTTCCTTTTATTGTCACCCGAAGATTCCGAAAAATCTGATTTTGAGAAAACTGCATTTCGATTATAATGTCTTGGCTAGTGTAAAGCTCACCAGTTAGTTACTTGGAACATTCTCCTTTAAATACAGCACTGTGAACGCTCCGTCGTAAACAATTTGTTACAACTTTGTGATCATCAGGGTACATCTTGTTTAGCAGATTTGCCTTCCATTTAATTAGGTCTTTGTGCATCCAAGCTAACTGAAGCGTTTCACTGTCACGCTAGTGGGTCTGTCTGTAGAGTTTTATTTGTTTTCTGTTGACAGGCTGCGTTGGGTTCCGCATCTTTGTCTCATTGAGCTGCTATACCTTTACTTTCGCTGATTGCCGTGTCTTGATAATTTTACATCATAGTCACAAATGTTCTTAGCCGTTATTCGAGGCAACGCTCCATATTTTCATATTGTGCAGTTCACACCTTATTTTCTTTTATTTCAATGGCTAGGTAGCCCAAGAAACCGAGGTGAAAGCCAAAGTAACCCTGCAAATCCGCGATGTCCGTGGACAGCCCATGACAGTTTCCAGAGCTCTCGTGGCTACACAGAGGGATAAAGTGGGTTATTCCCCAATGTTTTTTTGCGCGGTGCCATCTCCGTTTTGATTACATTGCGAGGTCGACGTTTTCCGTTTTATGTGGTTATGCGGAATAGTTTGACCTATTTGTTTCATTTTTCACGACGTTCTCAAGTTGGTGGTCACAGCAAATTCCTCTCTCTCACCTCAATTCTGTTTTCAAAGTTGTCACGAATGGTCACTTTCTGCATAGTGGTTCTTTAATGTGACCTACTGGCTTGCTTGGTGAAACGGACCGAGTCGCTTTAGTCGGGTTGATGTCGTTCGTGAACAGACCCTCGCGTAGTGCTTCATTCTTTCTTATTATCTTTCCGTGTGTCGTACCGCTGAAGGACTGCGCCGATACGTCACAGGTTGTCTTCATCACCGAACGACAGCCAAATTAACGAATAAAATAAATATAACACTAAAAAGACACCAGGATTTGAAGCTTCTCCCAAAGGAGGAGCACGACAGAATGAAGGCTCGTGACTCTAACATCGCCTAATTCTACGGACTTCCGAAGGTGCAAAATGATGACGTGCCACTTCAGCCGATCGTATCACTTCCTGGTACGCGCGCCTACAACTTGACTAAAATATTATGGATGAGGATTAGACACATGACTAGGGTCGCAGTATTCTTTAAACACTTCATTGATTAATTGTTCACACACGTTAGCTAGACGTAGAAAACACCTCTGCTATTGCGCCGCAATACATAAGAAAATAATTAAAAAACATGCTGCAGAGGCACTCTAGCTGAGCCACCCTTAACGGATGTGCGTTGTTCCGGTGAGCTACCAGCCGGCTATCGTGCCGCAAAAGAATAACTATATTATGCGTCAGAAATGAGATAGTGGTTGAAGTGGGACGCTAAGCGACAGGCGGAAGGACAATGAAACTGACAATACAAACGCTACTGAGATTGGCTCCTAATCATGCCAACAAGTGTACCCAACCAAACGTGTTCATCGTCTTTCGGACTCCAGCTAGGGAGTCGAGATGCTCCAACCGAAGCCAACTTGGAGCTCAGGGGCTTCATTCCTCCCCTCCTCATCTTACATCCACACCCCCGGCGCGCAAACAGCACACGTCGCGGGAGTCGATGTGCTGGCATGCGCAACACGTGGCGCAGCCATCGGGGCCTAGTTCGTGAAATAACGGTGCTTAGCGGTCCACTTCCTCTCCCTGTTCCATAAACAAGCCGCCGAAAGCGCTCGGTGCTCACCCGGTGTTCTCACCAGATATGAACCAAATTGCGAAGGCACTGGTGGATGAACGTAACTAGCCTCTTTGTATCCGCTAGGTTTCACAACCGTACAGTAGGGTCGAACGTACGATTGCATTGTAAACTCTGTCCTTCTGGGCGAAAGTGATGTCGCGCTGGCGCCATAGGTAGCGAAGTTTATCAAAAGCGTCTCGAGCTTTTGCATTACCATTTCTGACGTCTTAAATTCCACCGGCGCTGATACAACTGCCTAGGTAGTTAGATTTCTGAACGACTTCTAACTGATACCCACTAAGGGTCAGCGCAGGAGTGGGTCACTTCAGACCATTGTATAAACAATGCTCAGCAATTTCTAGGGCAACTTGGACTGCCAATCGATCATGAAGTACTATTGGTGTTCTTCGACGTTGCCGCACTGTTCACTTTTGTCAACTTACAATTGACGGAAGAAAACATCAGAGAGCTCCTGCATGGTGACGGATGGATTATTGGGAAGCTGATTCGTGATTTGTGCCTTACAACAACGGAGTTCCCTTTATCTGGACTCATTGAAGTGATTGTCTTGAACCCAAAATGGTGAGTCCGGTATGTTCATGATATTGAAACGCAGCCAGTTACAGCGCACAAGCCTTTCCGAACAATGCAATGAACGGTATCCGTTTCACGATGGAATCAGAAAGGGAAAAGTATCTACCTTTATTAGGTGCGCTGCTTACCGGAACATTGTACGGAGAACTGCAAACATTAGCAATGCCCACACACCGGCTGAATCTTACTTTTCAACGGCCACTATCCAAAATGTCAAAGAATAAGCTGCATACAGACCCTATTTCACGGGATAGAATCACGTTGCAATACTGCGAAGCAAAACGAAGACAAAATCATATGAAATGGAAATATTTCGGTGTTGCTCCTTCTCACACTGGCACACCACGACCGCGGTTTCGTTCTGGTTTTGACTCATCAGGTGGAGATAGCCCGAGCTGGAGTGGAACTCAGAACCTAGTGGTTCACGGCTGAGGCCATAAACACCATGCTGCTGAGATCGGCGGACAACGTTTGGTTCAGAGGAAAGGAGTTCAAAGTTGAACTTGGAGAACCCGCTGTTTGGTTAGGTTGCGACACACAACCTCTATTGAGACCTCGGTTCACTTGAGGTAGACGTCGGTCATCCAGATCGCAAGGACCGTATCTGAAATGGAAATATTTCGGTGTTGCTCCTCCTAGCACTTGCACACCACGGCCGCGGTTTTGTCCTGGTTTGGTCGCATCAAGTGGAGATAGCCTGAGTTGGGGTGGAACAGGGTCTAGTGGTTCACGGCTGAGGCCATAAGCATTATGCTGCTGAGATCTGCGTGGTGTGGCTGTCTGCCTGAGTCTAGTTGCGGCGAATCTTGGCCCAAACCCAATAAATCCCCTTACTACTCATACACCATGAGCAACCTGCTTCTGTGTAACCTATTCGTGTTATCCACGCATTATTGTAATATACAACTAGATCCTTCATGGCTGCCTTTAATGGCAGTAATGTTCTTCATTCTACGAGGCCTCCATATCAACCAACACTCTGCGTCGGCCCTGGACTCTAAGCTAGGTGCCTCTTCAGAACGTTATGGACCGTTTTACGGATGGGATGTTTCGACACATCGAGGTTTGCCTTCCACGAGCTTTTTCTACCAAACCAATACCTCTTGCACACTATGATGCCATCTGGACTGGTGATGAAACGTTTGCAACTAAAGTACCCAGCTCCACGGACACTACAACTGAAAAACCAACATGAGCTACTAGTGTTTCGTTTAATCGCTTATCATTGACATTTGGTGATACCATTCGGATTGATGCTATTCCTTTTGCTGACGGAAAGCGACATCAAACCCGTGCACTTCGCGATGTGCGGGCGCACCTGTAACCATCATCGTGGTTTTTCCACTTCCCCAGATCAATCAGCCATCTTAGACTGGCGTGCACCATCTACCATTGATGACGATGCGATCAATTTGTCTTCAGGATTGCTGTGTGTTTCGGTTGGTGCTGTTTTACTGGGATGCGAACGCCTGTGTTGGGAAGCTGTGCTGTTAATATGAAGGCTGTGCTTGCCATTGCCTGTACAATCATCCCTCTATTCCTGGCCTCCGCATAGACGAATTCTGGGGTTGGATTATTCTGACCTGCGATCACTGAACCGCTTGAATTTGTAAGTTCTGGATCCTCTTGGATGATATTTCCAATTTAACTCAGTTGGACCAGGGCGTAAGCTGACCATCTAGTCATCATCACTATGGGCAGTCTAGGGTAGACTGGAAAGACAGGTTAGCTGTTCGTTTAAGTGTGGATGATCTTTGACTTCCCATTGGCTCGCCTCACCTACGCTGGTTAGTGCCTTTCTGTAACTCATCAACCAGTTCCGTTGAGGTGGCTGTATAACTAATTACTTCAACTAAACAATCCTTACGAACAGTAGCCAGATGAAAGTAACCTCAACGACGAAACATGGATTCATCTTTTACTCTATAAGTCATATTTATCACCAACTGAATTTAAAGGCAATCTAGAGCTTATTGTGCTTTCGAATGGCTAAACAATACCCATTGCGAGCCGAAAGCATTAGGACGCTGATTACTTTGGGTCACCGGAGCGTACGAAGTATCCTTCGTATGCCATAGGGTTTTGGGCCTTAAGCCATCCGGCGCTGTAATGGACCCTCTTTTATTTGTGTATACTAGGGAACTTCCTTCACATACCGTTGGTTGGTCCTATTTCTGGGAGTACATTATTTACCGATAAATTACCCTGTTGAATGAATCCTCCAATTGTCACTAGATTACAAGAATTGACCGCATTATTTTTCAAATCAAGTCAGGTAATTGCTTTATACACCTAGGACGTTGTTCATCGTCTTTCGGGCCTCAACCGGTGAGCCAGCATTCTCCAACCGTGGCCAGCTTCGAACTATAGACCGTCATTCCGCTAGACCAAGTCATCGCTTGACCTCTCTTCTTCCTTTTCCATCCGCACCCCCGGCGCGCAAACAACGCGCGTTGCGGGAGTCAGTGGTCAGTGTGCTGGCATGTGCAAAACCCGGTCCGTAACACAATCATACTTTTATGGAATACCGACATTCTACTTTATGTAGCGGTGGTTTAATCATTCTTCTGAGACATTGTGTTGTTTTATTATGCATTTGTCTCTGATTTCCAGTAATGACATTTAAGGGTCATTGACCACCACACTTAGTGGCGATTTTTTATCCCTCCCTAGGCTAAACAAGGAACCCTGCGAACCCTTGATGGTACTATCAAACGTCTATTGCCCGACGGTCGGGATACCAGCATCAGTTCAAAATGCGCTGACATAGACAGTGAGGTATTTTAATCTTATTACTTATACGTATTTTTCACTTACCTGTGGAATATTTGAGGAAATATCTCTCCTCTTTTTTATAGATGGTTACAAGCCTTGGCGTGTCGAAAGCGGTTTTGGAAAATGTAATTTTCTGCCACCAAGAGGATTCTAATTGGTACGTTTTCGTTTGTTGGTGCAGCAATAGGTAACGTAGCCTGTTTTTAACCGTCCGGCACATACTCATTTACGTCAATGCATGGTTGCTTTTAGTCAATTTTGTCCACTGGGTTACTGGTAATCTTTGAACTGCGCACGTGCTTCACGCGCAACTTCTTTTTACATAAAAATACGGATCGGACAATGTAGAAGCATTTCGTTTGACGAAACGAGTTGTTCCTACTTTAAAAGCTGCCTGAGGTTACTTTGTATTGAATAGCCGTTAATAGTAAATCTACCAGTAGCGATAATCGCAACGCTTATTTTCGCTTTTTTACAAGTTGGACCTGTTACTCGTCTACATAGATCATGCAGACCGTGTTATCCCAAAGAACTCATTTGTGTTTGTTTTACTCATGTTGCAATCATTTTTGTATATCACATTTTAGTTTAACCTGGTGTGTCTATTATCATCCCCGTTTTGCAGATACTAATCAAGATTGATGAACCAGTTTTTCCTAATCCAGATAAAGTCATGAGTAAAAGCCAGTTTGTCCCATGTTACTTTCAATAGCTCGTTTGTCTAATGTGCCCCGAGTTTTTACCACAAACGGTTCTCGCGCTATCTGGGCCGCTCTCTCCTTTTTCTTGTAGGCCGTTGCAAGAGGCTAAATCAGTGAAGCAAAGGTTCGACGATCTCTTCGCATCTTCGCGGTATGTGAAGGCACTCGATGCCATACGCAAGTGTAAACAGGAAAATGTGAGTCCTTACTATTCTGACTGATGGCACCACACTTTCTCCTCATCCATACTTTACACTTTCACATCTGTTTACGTTGAATGCACCACCGACTTACGTAGCTAGTTGCTATGGGTGGGTTTTGTCGAAACCCCTTTTAGTAATTTTGGCACCATTTAGACCGGAACCGTATTTTTTTCAGCTACTCCCTGGAATTGCGACTAGGTTGCCGTTCTGCGTGAGCAAAATGATTAATCTAACTGTACCGTGCAGCCGCCTGCTTTTATCCAGTTTCTTACTGCCCCATTGTCTACTTCTGTTCAAGAACGTCGATATGTCTTCGGTTGACTTTACCAACACTCTCTTGTTTTGTTCATTTACTGCTGGATATCTTAGTGTGACTATGCGCCATTGAGGGTTTTCATTCCGTCAACAGGGAATGTTTGTTAGCCTGCAACTACTGAAACCATCTCGCTTTCTTTGTTTATGGTTTGGTTATGTAGGCGCGAACACTTGATGGTAGATCGTTTCCATCAACAAGCTCAATGTTTCGTCATGCTCACCCTTCCATTTGTACGTTTCAAGATGGGTGACTTTCCAGTAGGGCTATTTGAACCCAATGCGACTATTCTCCTTGGCCATTTAGTTGTGAGCCCTGGAACCATTTAGGCATCATGAATGATGATGTGGACAATCAGCATGCGATGTAACTGATCAAATTAGTAGTCAGTGTTATTTATCGCTTTTCAGCACTTCTTTACAGGCATTACAGTCACTAACTTGATCAAATCATAAAAAGCCTGATCGAAACTTCTATCGCAAGGACGGTATTTCAATTGGGATACGGTCCTTGTGATCGTAATGACCGAGGTCTGAATAGAGATTGCGAGTCCCAATCCAACCACACAGCAGATACACCAAATGCCACCTGGAATTCTTTACCGCTGTGTCAAGCGTTGTTTGCGGATCTTAACGGCATATTGGTCAGGGCGTCAACCTTTGAACATTAGGTCCCGTGGTCCAACCCAGCTCAGTCCATCTCCATCCGATGAGTGCAAAGGTTATGGGGTGTCAGGGTTGAGAGGAGCAACACCGGAACACCAATTGGGATACGGTCACTGTGATCTTGTTGACCGAGGTCTATTTCAAGGAGGACTGAGGTCTGAATAAAGATTGCGTGTCGCAATCCAACCACACAACGGGTATACCAAATGCCACTTGGAAGTTTAATTTAGTTCATTCTAGTATCCTAACATTAAACTGAAAGAAAAACGAAAGATAGGCATCAGCACTACATCGGTACATGGGTTAAGGATACTGGAGGGTCACTCGGTCCCTACGTAGGCTCGAACCCGCGCCCTCGGATTACGAGGCAGACTTGTGACCCTTAAAGTTGCGTGTCCGAAGAGCACCAACCGGCCGTTTCCTCCTATTTTCTGCTTGTGAACAATGCTACTCCCCGTGCCCTATCAGGAACTGAACCCATATCTTCTCCGAACCGGGGACTTGCGCCACTAATCTGCAGATTATGCCACTAAGTCATGTGGAATAGCGGCAGATCGTCATGACTTACAAACAGACTGCGATATAGTGCGACCCATCCTCTACCGCCATGCCGGTTACTTAGCTTGCAGAAGGCAGTGGCCCAATCTGTGCGATCACAGCTTCAAGAACAGCAGCTATGTACTGCAGTGGAATCAGTAGAGTTTCATCAGAAGTCCCCTTGTTAGTAATGCAAAGAGTCCTAGCCACCTCTAAATTGCTAGACATACATAGCTGCTGTTTTGGGAAGCCGTGACCTCATGGGGTCATTCGCAATCATCTCCAAAGGTAACAACCTGTATGCTGCTGTGTCGCAGTTAGCTTGTAAATCATAGCGGTCAGTCGTCGTCCCCCACGACGTGGTGGCATTGGCTGTTGGCTAGTGGTGCAAGCCGCGAGTGGTCGTAGACTCAAGTCCTGGTCGCGCCGAGGGATAACTGATGAGTCCTAACCGCCTGATTGCCTTCTGGCTGATTCAACAGAGTAGTGATCAGTCTGTCTTTTATTCCAGATGTTTCACTTGTGTTATCACACCCACTTTGGGTTGACCTAATGAACCAACGAATCCAACATGTGCAGACTAGACCCAGGTTACCGCGTCATATTTCCACCCGTTATTACACTTGCGGCGACAAATGCGTTTGCTGACCGTCTGCGGTGCTTTCGAGACATGTCCTGCTCAACCTTGGGTAGATGGGTCGTAGCGATTCTGACTGTTTATATTAGATCACTGGAGGTTGATAATTCTCATTGGGATTCCGACGAATATGCATTCACAGCCGGCGAATCGAATCCGCTTAGGTGCGGGCGCTCTCACGGTATAGCCAACACACGCGCGACTGGTGGTGGTCGCGTGGCAGCCAAGCATCGATGCAGTGTGCCGGTATACTTCTAATGCCTCACGGTCCTACAGTCTTCCATCACATGCCGTGTTCAACTGCTGCCGAAGTAACTCCACTTCACTTCTAACCTCCATCTGAGTTAATAGACAATATTTTGTAAGCTTCACTCTTTTTATTGTTTCCGCACACACTCATTGAGTGCAGTTGGTGAACTTTCAAACGCGGCTTCCATTCCTCACCCATATGACTATCAGCACGAACTTTGTGATCAAAACTACTGACGTGGATGTCCTGTCATTCCTCTTTTCAAATCCCAGGCGAATCATAGAAGGATGCTTCACCTTTGGTGCTAATGTTGCTGGCATTAGTCTACAACTTCAATGTCAGCGGCGCAGCACTGAGCGATAGGGTACCTTGGACGTAGCTTGTCCACCTTGGCTTCACCTGTGATGACGCATGCCACTGTAGGATAGTCCGCCTGTGTACAGGAAATATCCGTCAGCTCCAAGTATGCGTCAGTTCACACTCATTTGGTCCTCACCTTCTTTACCTCTTCGAAGCCTCAGACTTCAAGCTTTATTTCCATTTACCTGAAATAGGCAATCGTAATTCCATTTTTTCATTTGAATTTGAAATGTCGGCTATCTTTAAGTGTGTTGAACACCGATTAGGATAGTTTCCAATCAGGCTTGGGGGCTCACAATCCATTTGTTCGTCTAGTTTAGAGCTTTACTTATTTTATTCGTAGCTTTGAGAAGGCTCCTTTTTGTAAGCAGTTTCAAAGTGCCCACAGTATTTTGCAAATCAAGTGACCAAGAGTCTGATGATTGGCCGGGAGTACTGGTGGTTCCTTAAACCAGAATGCTATTCCAGCTTATCCAGTACACGTATCCATAAGTCCCAAGTTTGTGATATGATTCATATATGATATGATATGATCCATTCTGAGGCCGGACGGTTTGAATGTTTGGTGAAACATTTCGGGGGTCAAACAAATGTTAGACGTTACTCGCCTGTAACACTGTACTCCACGTCCGATTTTGTAATCGCTTGCACTCTTCGGATAGAAGTGATAGTTCCCTCACTCGAGACTGGTAACTTGACTTTGCGAGCATAGAAGCCTGTGCTTTCAGGCAACCGAGTCGTAGGCAGCGGCACTTGTCACACTGGTTGATGGCTGATTTTGGAGCACTCGAGTACATGGATTGTGACATTTTGCACCAAAGGAGTCTTCGGATTATTATTTACCCTTAGCCGTCCTTGTGTTTTAGAAGATGGCGGAGTAACTTGCACGGAAAACCTCGGAACATCAGATCCTTTATCACTATCACAATAACTCGCACAACGGCGCCCAGTTATCGTCGTCTCGGTGGAATCAGTGAGAGCCAGAGGGTGTTCCTCTTAAATCAAGGTTGATCGTATCTCCGCACAATCAAAAAGTAGAGTAGGATCACATGGAGACGGTTCATTATAGTGGTTTTCCTTCCATGTCAAAGTGCATGGTCGATGTAGGTCTTTTGGAGCCGAACATGGCTGTTTACATTGACATCTAGCATATTTGCAGTGCGCTGCACAGTTCGACAGATGCTCCACGATCACAAAGTGCACGACACTATTTAAGAGTTGTGGGGAAATTCCACCATTTTCTACTATCATCTGACAGCCACTCGAAATGATTGATCGGTTTACCTACCTTTGATAACCGTATCACTCTTGATATCCAATCGCTAGTGAAGTCACAGCACGGATTAACATCTCAGCATTGCTCTGTAATATCTGATTATCTGTGAACTTGAAACATCAATCTTTTTGACTGAGGCTCGTGTACAGATCTTTCCCATAGGAATGGCGTTTTTATCTAACTCCTGAACATAGCCACCATGCGTCGAGAACATTAAAGATTTGTCGACTGTGGTCGACTTAACTCTCGAATGCTCTCCCATATGCGATCGGGTACCAGCTCATGAATGCTGATGTTCGTCGATCTGTGTTTGGCGGCAGATCGATGGTGCCCCAGAGTCCTCTTTTATATCTGCCCCTTTTGATATCTCTGGAGGACTTTTTTCTTATGCCGTCGCTCGGTCTCCCGACTCGGTGCATATTATTGCCGGTATGGCGCCCTGTTGATAGAAATCCGCAAGCTGATCACTTGACGACAGAAAATGACCGAAAGTCTCAATCAGACTGCCTCATGCCGCCTTCATGGACGTAGGCCGCGAGATTTACCACACCAGTGTCTGTGCACATGCGCATTGTCAAAAGATTGACGCCCCTGCGTAGCGTCCTTGCTTCTCACGTTTAGCTATTTTACCATCGATTCATTTTTCGTGAATTTGTTTGTGTATGCTCACACTCGTTATCTCACTTTTTATTTTGCTTACAGTACGAGCTGTGATTGCTTTTATGACTGTTGCTGTTGGTACCGCTGTTGTCGTGCTGACGACGTCTCTTACTAATGGGGATTGATGCTTTTTATCTTTCTTGCTTACTAATATTTTTCCCTTGACTATTTAATGTCTGTTCAGCACCTCAATCTTGATACCATTCGCACCGTTGTTTGCGCGTTAGACCCTGCTTTTGATCTAGCCACTAAGTATGAATCTAACGATTCAATCGGCTAAGTAAAATCGTGACCATTTTAGCGGACAGGATGCACAGCATTCTGTTTTCTTAACGTTTAAAATCTGCATAACGCCATCTACCGCTGCAGCCGCGAGACAACAAGCTGCTTGGTCATTGTTTCAAAAGGCTTTCTGGGCGACCCGTTAATACATTAGTTAAATGCATAACGTTGCGCTTTTGACTCAAAAGCTTCACCTGAAGATGTCGGTTGTAATGATGACTTCCCGATCGGTTCCAAACACTTTCTAGGTTATCGTAGCTGCTTGCACCTTATTCGCTAAATGTGGAATTGATGGTGTCACAGTTTTGTTTTTCTTCGCCTCCTTACATTAGCTAACACGGCATTATTGCATCACGCTTATCCGTGTATGAACGGATCGTCTAACATCCATAATAGCAAGTACCAATTTTTTTACGCCTTTTGTGCCATGCTCGGATGAAAGACAAATAAAACTAACACACAATAATGTGGCCTTTTGTACAATTCATTTTGATTTTTACTTATTGCGTCACCCTTTTATCTACCTACCACTCACATTTGACTACGCATGAGTACATATTGGCAAATGACGCATCGCTCTTTCATACCAGTTATTCATTTTTGGGGTGGGTTTTTGATTTCTCACAACTGCTCAACCAGTTCTGAACGGTGCTTAAGTGAAATTTCAATCTTTATTTCAGGACGCTAACACCAAGATTTACAAAACAGAGCTTAAACATCTGGAAAAAGGCGTTGATGAGGCCCGAAAGGTGATTTACTACAGTTTTCATGCCTTTTCTCATCCTAATTCTGGATTTGGTGCCGAATTTATTCTCGCTCAACTTCTTTTTTGAGGTTCGTTGCGAACATGAAGAAATGCAGCGGGCGATCGATGTTCAAGAGAAGTCGTTATCTCGTGTCACCAGTAGGCTAGATCCAGTGTCGGTGAGTTGCATTCACACTGTCGTCCGCTTCCTCTTCAATTGATTACTACATAACCTTATCTTCCGCTTGTTTTTTCTCCACAGGAACAACTCATTGCCTACAAACAAAAGTACGCCGAACTCATCGATTTACAGGCCGAAATAAGTGCGTTTTACTTCGTGCTTTTACCTGAAAAGATAATTCACATTCGATCGGTTTTCTCAGTCTCACGTTGAGTTTCAGATTATCCGCATCTAACTCTCTTCTCGTTTAGACCGTCGCTCATTGGGGCAAATAAGATGTGATATGTGCTTCTCTGCTTTCCGGCATCGTAAAATTGATGGAGTTCATGTGCCATTCACTTTTCTTCGGTTTATTTCTTAGACCGGGTTTTATCCTGTTTTAATGAGCACCATCCTCGTCGACCGCTTTTTTGACGCAGTCAGACGATCTTAATTTACACTTTCGCTTCTTGCTTCTATTGTTTTTAATATAATGGCAACGCAACGATGCCATTCTGCATAAAAAGTTTCTGTACTTGTGTATCGTCTTCACACCGTTCTATCTGCATCTGAGTTCCAATATCTGTCCATCTCAAACGAATGTACATTATTACTTTCATCAGGTGTATATTATACTACTAATGAGTAGTAGGTCTTTGAGAATTATTCAGAGATAATTCATCACAGTCAATTCTCAGTCAGCAGGCTTTAACACGTTGGGAAAAGCAGCAGACACCGCTGTTTTGACCTTCTGGATCAGTGCTGCGGCATCCTCGGACCTCTGCCGGGTTTCGACCCTATGACTTTTCGGATGCCAGCAGCTTTTCCCACTAAGCCGCTTAACTGCATGATTGACAGTTGACTATGATATAGCCCCGCTCATCTTCCACTGCCACTAGTTACGAACTGTACAGAGGACAGCAGTTACCTACGAAACTAAACGTTTACTAGCTCACTTCGACACACTAACCCGATACGCTGCAGGTGTTACCTTGTCTCTCTTCGGCATAGCGGCATAGACACTTTGTATTGAGGCAACTGCAACGATGAGAATGAATGTCAAATGGTCAATGCCTTATCAGTTCACTAGGCTGCACACGTTGCGATAAGCGTAAGAGTTTCCGTTTTCTCCTCCTTGCCCCTGCCGTTCGGTTCTGCGCGTTGTCAAATGATATATCAACTTTATTCGTTTACCAACAATATTGCCTGCTTGTTGGAAGGACGATACTTTCAGGTTAATTTTATGCGGTACAATAGCTAAAGTGTGCTTCTCACCTTCAGCTAATGTGTATTGATGATGCTGATGGTCAGATCATAACAGCATTATTTCATTTTCGCAGCGTTCATTCCCTAACACTCATATTAACGCGTAGTTTTGGTAGCCTTAGTTGCAGCTAAGAGTCTTCTCTTGTTTGTGTATCATCCTTTTCCCTCAAGATAGAATGATCACTCGCGTTTCCCTGGCTTCACTTTATCAAATAAATAACTCGGCAGCGCGACGCACGCCTCTACAGACGTGATCATGGTAAGAGGACAACGAGTGATCAGGAAATGTGCAAAAATACATGTTTACCCTGACATTGAATGCATATATGTATATAGAGGTGTTCATGTGTGTGGCTGTTGCTTGAGTTTGTATATGTGCCGCTACATTTTTGACCCTTTGATCGCTCCGCCGGTGTGTGAAGAGATGGTTGACGTCCGTGGATTGGATATGATTATCCGGATAAGCAACGGGCTGTAACTTTAGTTTGTGGCGAATCACGATCGCCACGTCGCAGTGTTGTTACACATACATTTGTGGCTTTTTATGCCATGGATACTTGCCAGGCGAAAACCCATCACCTCCTGGAACACTGCAGCTGAACTGTTTGCTGAAACCGGGTAAACCCGAACCACCACGAGGAGGTTGTTCGGCTAGTCAGCCTTGTTGCTTTGCTCAGTCGAGCCGTGTACGCGGCGAATCGTGTCCCGGACTTGAGCAGCTCATAAAACCACTGTGTAGCCCAGAGGTCAATGCCTGATACGAACTACGGTGCTGTTTTACAAAAGACTAAAACCTCAACTCCACGACTAAACGATATCCAGAGCAAAAAATACACAACATTTGCGCCATCGAAATATGCCTTGCAGCCGAGCGGAACCAAGCCGTGCCAACTGGCAACCGCGGTGTAATCGAGCAAGCAACCGCAATGAGAAATAGCATTCAATCACGGCTTGTAAGGCGAAGCGCCATTGATTTGCATGCACCAGTAGATTAAACTCGAAGCACAGAAATGCAGCAGAAAAATTACACATGGACTAGAATGCCCAGTACAAGAAACAAAAAGGCAGTATATATATATATATATATATATATATATATATATATATATTCTCCCTTGGGTGATTTGATGGTGCATTTCTTCTGGAACGTTTGTCATATAAGTTTACTTTCCGCTCCCACGCAGAATCATTGGAGACCGAGAAGTCTCATTTGGAACAGTCCGCTTGTAACTTGTTGATGAATGTGAAAAATGAGTTCAAGGGTGAGTTCTTGGACCTCGTGATTGCACTGTCATGCTTTTATAGTTCACTGAGAAAATGCGTTTTACTTTACACTTTTCTTTTATGCATGCCAGCTATTTGGCTTCACTTACGATACATGTTTTGGTTGCTTCGGGAAACTAAAACCAGTACTGACCCCCAATAGTGTCGATTTTGTTAATTAACTGTGTCTTGAGACATTTACCTTCATGTTCATTTCAGGAACCAACGAGGAACTTTCGGCTCTCGTTGAGGATGCTGAAGCAACTTTTGAACGAAACCAGCTAACCTTAACCCGAGTTAGTTTTTGTTCCCTCACCTATTCTTTGTTGGTTTTCCATTAATGAGCCCGGCTTTTTTATGTATTGCTCTTCAATTGGCTTTATCTTGTTTGTTTGACGAATGAGGGCTCTTTGGAGTCTTCCACTCTTTAAGTAACTCCTCCCATCATCTTACCACTTATCCTTGCCTTCAACAATGTGGTGATTTGTCTTTATTTTCTTTTCATTGTTACTCATCAGTTCCGGTCGTCTCTCCTCATCTTGAGGGCGGAGCAGTCCGGCATTAAGCTTTCTGCGGAGCACGCAGATATCTACATAAACTCGATTTATCATTGGGCTCATATTGTTAACGTCATGGTCTTTGTTCGCCTCGTCTTGCATCAGCCAGTTTGCTTCCCAGTGACTGCTTTAAAAGCTCCTTTTTAGTCATTCAGACTTGACTTTTCGTCCGTCATTGCAGTCTATTGGAGCGATCGGTCACCGGTGCGCTGTTTGAAACTTTTTGACATTTCTCTGTACTTTCGCATTTTTTGTTTTGGGGGTTACCATTGGTAGCTACTACCGGTAACCTCTGTGGGATCCGGCATAAGTACTCATTTTAATGGAAGTGATAATTTACCCGTTCGAGGGTTTCCAATTACGGCAAATTTCCATCTGTGTTCTCAGATTCATAATGCGTTTTTTATAACATCTTTTTATCTTGCTATTGCACACAATGGTTTCACTAATCATGATTAATATCGCCTGCAAAGCTATTCAAGACAACGATTTCCATGGACTACTTGTGGATTTTTGTGAGTAGTGTAATGTTCCTAGAAAGTAGAAATCACGATTAAACTACACAATCATCTGCTTCGACGAGGAATCGGACGCCGTTCCCCCGAATTACCGGTCCGCTGCTCTACCACTGAGCTATCTAGGGCTTACGGTCAGGTGCGCAATTTAATACATGACTGCTGCTTGGTGCACGACGTATTGCTAATGAGCTCCAGTATCTGTCCTGATGTTGCAGACTGGCTCACTTGCTCGTCACTTCCCAACGGACCGAAGTATTTGTCCTTCTGATTTCCAACAGGCGATGGTAGATTACTTGTGGGTTTTTGTGAGTAGTGCAATATTCGTAGAAAGTAGAAGTCACGATTAAACTGCACACAATAATCTGCCTCGACGGGGAATCGAACCCTGGTCCCACGAAGTACCGGATTACATTAGGCGGTGGCGGGTGTTTGAATCGGCCGTTGCCTTTTTCGCTAAGCATCATTTTTACATTACCTACTGTTGAAATATCAGTTTTGCAAGAATAAGCAGACTGATTTTTTTCTTCAAACCATTTTCAGGGTCACTGAGACTAACCAACTCTATCCATCTTTTGAATACAAATCTTGGGATACAACGCACTTTACAAGCTTTAATGGTTTTAGGCACAAACTTTTACCTCAACTGAAACCAATTATGAAGAAACGTTCAAATAAAACGTTTCCCTTTTGATTAGGTGCAAGTCCGGACGATTCAGTTCAGCACCATACTGTCGTTGCTCGTTCGAGTGATGGCGGTGCACCCTTCTCATTTCTCCCCCATTTGTAAACACTTGCTTTCTTGGTGGGGTCAATTTAGTACGTTTGCAGTTGATAATGTAAAATGCATCCATTTGCATACTTACAGTTTATGTTGACTTGAATCTGGAACGATTTTCTTGCTCAGAAGGATCACTTGGGAGTCCCTGCGGTTCTCAAATCGTTCTGTGTGCACTAAGGCATTGAACGAAAATAAACATGTCATCAACCAATTTGTCACGACTGCATTGTTCTTTTATGTAGCTGCTTTACTGAGCGGGCGACTCGCAATAACCAGCCAAACTATCGGGACCGAGTAGTCGAGTTTAATCGAACTTGTTCGGAGACTGGTACAACTTCCGATCATATAAAACGAGCTAGTGTTAATGTGGCTGTTAGTTCCACGACCTCTCACTTTCTGTCAAGCACCACTTCAGCTTGTGCTTGTTGTCTTGCTTGATTTATCGTATGTTTTTCGGCATTCATTCGAATCATCCGTGACCTGGGGTTGATTGTCTGGCGTTCTGTGTTGGCTTCTTGTCTCATCTAAATTGAAGCTGCATCTACACTCTCAAGATTGTCGGGGCTTAGCACTATTACTCACAAAATCAGAAATGACCCTCGCAGGTTACCTCATCTCTGTTACCCATGAGTTGCTTTCAGCTGGTTAAGCATACTTCGTTGTAGAACGTTCGAGGTGTTTGATTTCTGTCACTACGAATCAAAAATCTCATGGGTCCGAGAATATCCAGTGTTGCAGTACGGAGTTTACGGATTCACACCACCCCTGGCATTAGCTACTATGAATTACATCAGTTATTTGCATCTTCGAATTCTTGTGATTACCGTGTTCGCCAGATGTTGACTTGGAACACGGACGCTTTTTCGTGATTTCCAATGGCGACATCCACAATGATGCCGATGATATTGGTGGCATAAGTACCGGTGAATTGTAATGAAGGCTTGTTCCCTTTTTACTCTTTTTTGTTAGCTGGAAGATGCGATTCAGTTGGACCGCTTGAAACTTCGAGAGGCTGAAGGACAGCGGAACAAACTTTCCATAGAGGTAGCGCAGTTGGAGCTGGAGATGAAAGTGAGTTTACATTTCTATCGCTAATCACTTTGAACAGTCACTTGAGATTGGGAGATGACGTGGTATGATATCATTCGTACAAACGAACACATGAATACCTAGTGATCAACTCCATGGATCGTTCACTTCGTCTTTCAAGTATCATTTTTCACTGGGGACAGAGAAGTGTCGACTCCACTGTCGGGGCCAGAGTGTAGGACACTGCAGTGTGACTGGTTTAATTGTTCAAATGGGATACAGTCCACGCTGATAGTTAGAGATTGATTGTCTCTTCCTATCGTTGCTTTCAAAGCATTGCTGCACCGAAAACGTAATGCGACACAGGTTCTATGCTATTCCTAACTGTCTATCATACTCAAATCACTTACACTAGCTGCTTATGTCTTTCACACATTTGCCAAAGTGATAGCTAATCCATACTGCGTGAGCCCCCACAATCTAGTCGGGGAGTGGAAGATTGGACTGATTGTAGCATGTCGTTCTCTTGATTTGAGGGTTGGATTTCCTAGCTACCTCATCCGTCAAGACGCAGTTTAGTTATTGATTTTTTCGCAAGTATTCCATTGTCAACTCTTCTTAGCTTTTTAATACTGCAAGTTTAACCATACTTCACACTTCCAACTCGATTGGTTTGTTCGTTCACTTTTTTCGTTTATTTTATTATGGTAGCGATACTGAGTTTACCTTTTCCCAGTGTTATACTTGTGTGTTTTGGTGTTACTTAAAGTGGAAGCTCACTCTCTAAGTGCGAACTTCACGATTTCATTTTTGACCTGGTTGTTGAAGCGAGGCAAAGCTCTCTTACGTGATTGTGCTAGCATGTATTCCAGTTTCGCCATCTCCATATGGTTCTGGGATCTTAACATTATTTTTGTCTCGTGACGTGGCAAACCATTTCTTGTTTCACCATCTTTCACTGATATTTTTTCACCTCGCCACACAAAACAGTTGCTCAGCTTCCTCACTTTTTGCTATGATCCGCTGAAGAAACTTACGGTCTACTGTGAACGATTCTATGGTTACACTTTGTCGATCGACCCACACCGTTTTCGATCTTTTCAATATCATTTACTATGTTGGACCAATTTAGTGATCCTGTCAATGTCTACACGGATGTATTTGTCAATCAAACCTAAACTCCATGTGTTACACCCACTACCGTGACTGAGACACTAAGTTCCGCCTCCCTTTTTCGTTTTTGCATCCTGTACTATTTTTACACTAGCATTTGATCGACGCTTCCAATGCTCGTGATGAACTTTTGCGCTCTTCTGCCGTACGGCAACAACTCACAAGTTAGTCTCTCACACGTCTTGCTTCTGGTCGTCCTTGTTAAATCGTGCGTACTATCTTTTCTGGTTGCCTGTTTACTTCATGCATTTCATCCCAGTGAAGTTAAGTGTTGATTTAGTTCCGTGGATTGCTTGCTGTATGCCCCGATTGATTATGCTGTACTGTATCTATTCTAGGGTAACCTTATATATGAAATGGGATCTGGAACGACTCCATCATCTTGATCATGTCCTGCTAACGTAACTTCGGTTTTCCCATGTGTCGCTTTCTTGCACTAAACTATCCATGCGGCTATACAATATCCGGTTCCGGATTTGTCTGTCCCCGCGGCCTCCATGGGGACAGCCACAGGACGCTTGCGCCTAATGAGGGACCATGGGTGACTTGCGCTGCACCACTCACAGCTCTATCCACAAACCCCATACCCAATGAAAACCCGAAGGAATGAGACCGGGAGGCATGTGAATGGGAGTTGAGTTTCATCAAAGGAGCCGGTCCACACACCTTCAATATGGACAGCAGCAACACTCCAGACGTACAAAAGGCGGTAGTTGAGACATAGCCCGTTTCACACGTGATGAAACCACTCCTTGAGCCTAACACGGGCAAGAAAACTATGCACTCCTCCCCCACCCGACAGCGATTAATAGTCTCCTGGAACCAGTATTATCGAGAATTAGGGTGTTAAACAGGTTGTCACCATGTTAACATTCACATCAAGCGCATGTACATCGGGGATATCAATCATCAGCCAACACCTGAAATGCAAGCAACCAAACCCGCATGCACACGTACAGACCAAATCCTGCGCTGATGTAGCACACGTACCACATCGACCGCATTAGGAGCCTGGGTTAGTTATTTAACTCGGAAGCTGTGTACTTACCAAGCGTTGCGCTGATGGTGATTAGCTAGCTTACTCGTCTTATCTTAGATGTTGGCCCCACTTGGCCACGCTCATGGGTTACGAGGCCAGCTTGACTGAGGCACTCGCGACCGCATGTGCTACAGCACCATGCGATTGACTTCGATGGGCTAGTATCCATTGGCACCTCTCGCTCCTCCAACCCACGTTTCTTTTTCCTATGCAGCAGTGCTTACTCGTCTACCTGAGAAACCGCCCTCTTGGCGCCGCTTAACTGCCTTTGATTCCCAACATCTGAAAGCAACATTAGTTCGTGACAAATTCACCTTGGTCATGTCTTCCTGACGGTTTTCCCACGTGCCGCTCCCCTGCATTAAGTTGTCCATAAGGCAGCTACTTTGGTATCCGGGTCGAATTCATAAGGCGAACATGTCCGAACCATCTCAGGTGCCGCAGCAGAATTGTGCAGTCCTCTGCATACATGCCACTGCGGCGCAGCACCTCCGTGTCTGCGACTCAGTCACCGTCGCCGATTAGCATAATCCGACGCAAACACCATAGATGGAATCGCTCCATTCATCGTCCACTTTTCACTGCCATACAGAAGAACCTACAGACTCATCGAGTTGTATACCATCAGATTGGTCCTGATGGTCGGCTGATGATTGTTTCACACACGACTCTCCAGCTTTCCAAATGTGGCAGCTGCCTTCGATACGCTTATACCCATCTCTCGCTATCTGCAGGTCGGTAGATATTACACTGCCAATGTGGCAAAATCTGGAGGTGTTTTCCACAGCGTCGTCATCGATGTGCATTTGCGGCAAGCATACAGATTTCATTTCTGGTGTAAGCTTAAAAGGACCAGCAGTCTTACTTTGTTGATGGTGAGCCTGAACTTGGCCGTCGTCACGCGCTGTAAATCATCCGCGTTGTGTGCAAAGAACGCACAGTCGTCGGCAAGCAGCAACATACGGATCGTTATCTCACACACTAAGGTCCTCACCTCGAAACCGGCCTCTCAACGGCCCATCACCAATACGGTGCTCCACCCGGATACCGTAATCACAAGCATGAAGATAAGTATTAAACAGGGCAGGGGCCAAGGCATAGCCGCATACCGCTATGCAGACATAAACTTACAAACTTACGCGGACAAGCAAACTTACCCAACACCAGCTGCAGTGCCTCGCGGTTCACCATGTCAAATGCCTTAATGAGGTCAACAAACATCGAGTACAATGGCTGATGTCGTTCTCTGCATTTCTCCTGCAAGTAACGTGCCACGAACACCATAGCTATGGTACTGCGGCCCGAACGGAATCCACATTGCTTTTCCGCCGCGTGCGTTCAACCATCTGATTGACGAAGCAGTTGAGCCGTATTCGCGCTATCACCTTCCCCACACAACTCAGCAAGTTGATGCCACGGTAATTCGCGGCACATTGCTTGCTCCCTTCGCCTTTGTACATTGGTAGCAAAAGGGCAGCCTTCAAGTCATTTGGCACCTCTTCAATCTACATGCTTTGCACCAAGTGGCGCAGCGCATCTATCAACTGGGGTCCGCCTTGTTTCAACACTTCAGACGGGACCCCATCGTCGCCGGCACACTTGCCGTTTCGCAGCTGGGCAACATCTCTCTACGTCTCATTCAGGGGTGTGTCCACAAGACATTTTCATCACTTGTTGTCGCAACCCGTACAATGTTGCTCAATCAGTATCTGAATGGTTATTCAACAGCAAAGTGCTTTCGCCACATCTCCATTATGTCTGCATTCTGCTTACAGGCAGCGCCTGAAGTAACATCGAGCAGCGTCCTCAGCGTCTACAACTTAGGACCATACACCGCCTTCAAGGAGTCAATGAATTCCTTATGTTAGCAGCGTTCGGCTTAACATTCCATCTGTTTCGCCTTCTCCGTCCACCAAGCATCGTTGATTCGACGGAGCTCTCGAATCAGTCGCCGTCGAAGTTTACGAAACTGACTCCTCCGAGTCGGCAGGGTCCGCTATACGTGCAATGAAGTCTGCTTTCTTTTCCGACCCCAATGCAACAATGGTTGCACTGTTATCATCAAATCAATCGGGTCGCTTACAGTTTGCGCGCCCTATGGTTTCCTCGGCCACAGCCGTCACCTGTTCGCGAATGTGGCAGCCATAGGTCGCCGACCGATGCGATGCAGTCGACCTCGCCAGCGCCGGTATTCATCGCCTTCTCCAGTCCCATTTTTTCTCAGCAGTACCTAGGGAAGGAACGTTAAATTTGCGCTGATTCACAGCGCACCAACTTGTGGTCACTGTCACGCTCAACTCCACACAGGACACTCGTAGTGCGCACTTCGCGCATGTCTCGCTGGCATTTGATGGCAGTCAAGCACGTGAACGTGACCACTCCGTGTGTGCATCCAAGTGGCTATGTCACACCCACCCTGTTCAAAACGTGTGTCCTTGATCGTCAGGCCGTGAGTGACACACAGTGAGAGCAGTCGGTCATCGTTACCATTGGCTGAGCCAATACCTACGGACCGATGACGTCTTTCCACACTGCTACGTCAGGCCCAACGTGCGCGTTGAAATCACCCATCAGAAATGGTCGGTCACTCCTCGGCACAGACCGTATCATGGATGTCGTGCGTAAAACCGATCCCTTGTGTCATCAGGATAACACATGGTGGGACCATAGGGGCTAATAAAAGCGGCAAACTTATTTCTTCCAAGTCGCAGGCGAAGAGTCATCCGTCGTGCGCTGATGATAATCGGCTGTGCCACCAGCTGGCCATTTAGGCGGTCGGATCTTGCCAATCCAACCCCAGGTTCACGCAATGCCGAGGTGACGTTCCCCACCCAGTAGAACATGTAACCAGCACCAACCTTGCCTTGGTCAGCGAGCCGTGTCTAACACATTGCTGCAATATGGATGCCGTAGTGCGCTTGTTCCATTGTGGTCAGTGCCGTGCGTCTCTCGGGACACTCACTTGTGTTACCGTCGAGCAGTGTGCGCACGTCTCAGAGCCTGATGTTCCGCGCTTTGCGCAAAGGTATACGATTGCGCCTGACAATCACTCGTGTTGTGACCTGGAATGGAGGAAGTAGTGGGTTAATTGAAATAGTAACTGGGATTGTATGTTCATGGGAAGAAGAAGAGGTGACTTTCGCATATCCACCCCACTGTATGCAGCAGACAAGGTGAACCTTTTCCCTTCACCATTGCGCGACGGCTGATGCTGCATGACATTATCAGTACTGGCGTATTTCGTGGTATGGTTTTAAACTAGTTCACTTCCAGGGCGTCCACACCTGAACCGCAGAACCACTCAGGTCCTCAGTCAGAGCTCTCGATAAAATGTACTCCCTAAAGGCAGCTGGCCGTGCACCATCAGTCAGTGAATAGACTCATGTGGAGTTGTGTGTCCTGTCCCTTAGCTGGAAGAAAGGTGTAACCCTACTCCCACCCAGCGGTCGTCACCTGGTGTCCAGGACATGAGTGCACGGCAGAACACTATCAGCATTGGGTCGACAACCTACTAAGATTTCGCCAACACAAGCCTCAGCGTGTCATAGATTCTCATGCTTTGTGTAAATGCTGGCGCCTGGGAGAATGGGACTGGTATGTGACACATACTGGTGGCTTCTCGGATTATTGGAGCTTATTGTATTTGTAGAGCGTCGGTTGCATCCTCCGCTGTTTGAGCACATCCATTTGATGAGATGAATAGGGGGACACTGCGCTTCACTTTCTTGAGTGTTCATATGTATGTACAGACGTTTGTTGTTAACACAAAACCTTACAGCTAGGTTCTGTTGGTGTACTAATTTGTCCTCACAGACAAGTGTGGTATACTGATTACGCTGCATTGCATGGTTGCTCCAGTTTTCAGGACTGGGATAAGCTCTGTGCCCACGCAACGCCTCATCTCTCACCCCCACAGTTTTGGCTGAGGTTTTATGCCATCTCCACTAAACGATTAATACTTCGGGCTCCTCAGCCTCATTTTCTCCATTAACTCTAGCCACCTTTCGTGCTGAATAAACATGTGCTTCGTTGATTGGAGGGCCATTTTGAAGTACACGCTGTGTGATTGTTTTGCGACACGCAATTCCAATGTAGACCGCGATTCACATTGGAGTGAACCTTGGTCAATGTGATCACTGGGACCGTAGCCGAAGTAGATGGAAACTTAATGTTGTCCACCCGACAACTGCACACCCACTATGCGTTTCTATCACATCAGGTGGATGTATCAGGCCTCGAACCCGCGACCATTAGAATAGTAGCCGAAACCTCTCCACCTGACGAGATCGAATGTGATCGAAATGCATTGTGTTGCGCAATTTTTTCGGGTGGGCAACGCCTAATTTCCATCTGCATGCGCTTCGTTGTTCACCTCACACTCTACATTGGTTTGGTTTCGCTTCATTTTAGCAGGTCCCATTTATGTCTGGTGATTCAACCAACCAATTTTTGTACATTTTAACCTATCCTTGTTGTGCTACACGCTTGCTTTCACGTTTACACAACTTCTAAGGTACATACAGCAATCACCCCAAAGGTGCATCAGATGTACTTTGGCTCAAGGATCAGAAACTACCTTCTCGATGAGCAGCTTTCTTGCTTGGTTGTTTGGAAGAATATTTACACTTGTGGTTATACGGTGCCTCTCGCGACTTGATGATTGCGACTGACACACTCCACCCTTGAGTAGGTTTTTAACCCACTCAGCAATGTAAGATGCCGCCCGTTTGACTGGTGTCTTTGATTCGTTAACGTCTTCGTGGTCTTTGGATTATTTTATCTTTCACCCTATCCCTAACTTCCTCACATGAGATTTCAACCCAGCACTTGTTTCACCAGACACCTATCGGAACATCTCTGTGCTAATTGACCAAATTTTCCAGAGTACCCTGATCCTCAGTAATTTTTGTGCGTCCTCATGATTATCACTACCGTCTATCCATCCCGCGTACGCAGTTTTTCATCCTCCTACCATTCGCTTGTCGGATTGTTAAGATTTTTCATTCTGTTTTACGATGGGTATTTAGTGACTTTCTCGGTAGTGTCGTCGGCCCCTCCCAAAAGTATTTTGTACCCTTCGGAGGTGGTTCAGTCGTTCGTTTTCATACTAATCATGTTTACGCTCACTTGACTCTGACTGGATTGAGCAGATTGATGTAATTCAGCTTATTTCTTTAATTTTTTGCTACGATCGGAGTATGATGGTTTTCTCATTGTCGTAAACAAACGGGTTATTTTGTGCTTTATGGAACTATCTTTCTCTGAATCTGAACGTGATAAACTTCTGCGGATTGGTACTTCTTTATAAGATGGGATATTTGATCTTGATCATCTGATCCACTTAATCACCTACTAGGCAGATACCGATACCGGTTATGTCTTAGCTGGTTACAGTTCCTAACTGCTCATTACTATATTGCTTCCTGTGGTGGTAACATCATTGCTGTTCTCAGTAACTTGTTTTTGTTGCTATAGCTCACCTACCTTTCCTGGAAAGTGAAAGCCGGTTGACCGATGCTGAGGTTGCATCAGTTGTAGATCAGCTTTCCGAATGTGTCACCGCAGCAACAGCCAGCGAAGCTGAACTTAAAGTGAGTGGTTCTCCCACTGTATCATATAGAACCCACACGTTTACTCTGTCCCATCTCTCCATACCCTTTATTCCGATAAGGGACTCCAATGCAAAAATCACAAGATTTTTAGCCTCTACCTCACCACCGAGTACTCTGAGTAGACACTATCTAGCCCTATGTCCTTGTCATCCTAAAGTGCTTTTGTGTCTTTTTATATGGTTATTCTAATGAAACAAGCTACGCAACGTCACGGACTGATTTCATTTCGCCCACATGTGCAAACCAAGGGGTACTTACCATCTGTTGGTTCAAGCTTTCGGCATGTGCACTCTACGCCTCTGGTTCGAGTCCCCCTTGCCACAATTACTCTGCAATAATTCAGCTGTCTTACAGCCACTCGCAATCTCATAACAGCGAAGTATCAGTACGGGGTCCGGTGTAATGCCGCTGCCTACCTTTATCGTCCCACTGGGTATGTTTGGCCACGGCTTCTGCGAAGCTGAGCTAAAAAACGTTCTCCCACCTTTTATGCCTCTGCGAGTTAGTAGCCTGCGAACTTTGGCGCCTTTCTTAGTTGTTGATCTCCGAACGCATGACTTGACGTGTTTATTTTATGTTTGGGCAATTGGTTTCTGAATTTGTCTCACTTCTGCGTGTGGACCTACAGCGCTGTGAAAAAGTCCTGCATCACTGAAAAACAAAGCTGTAGTTTTGTGGCCTTATCGTCAAAGTAGAAACAAAGATGCGCAAAGACTGTATATCGTTTTACTGAGAAATTATTACTCATAACTTTTAGTTTGTATTATGCTTTAACTTGTGATGACCAAAAAATGTTGTGCGGAGTAACCCCTATAGTGTAGTCTGTGTCAAATTAGAATCGGAACAGACTTTTCCTCCAATAGTGGTATAGAATTTCTGGCCAAAAATTGTACAGTATCTAGACAGTAAAACCTTCGTAAGTTAACCACTCTAAAACCTGACTAAAGTGGTCAACATAGGGAGGTGGTCAACCTACAGAGATCTGGATCAGTAAGTTTTACATGGTGAATGTTCAAACAATGGAAATCAAAACGATCAACCTCGGAGGTTTTACTGTATTCGTAAATTTGGAAATTCTTCGTGCAAACTCAAAGCACTTGTTTGTCAGACTGAGTAAAGTTTTTCCAGGATATCCTTTATGTATCTGAAAGAAGATGCTTGAGTTAAAGTTGTGCTTTATGAAGAAGGTTACTCAAGCGGGAGAATTGCGGTAAAACTTGACTATAGTATAGGTATAGTTATCAGATTTCTTAAAAAGCAAGCAGAGACGTGAAGCGCAGATAACAGGTACTGATCTTGTCGACTCGAGAAGTCAACAGATCGAGATCACCCTGTGTTGCTGAGGTCATCCTTGAGTGACAGGAACCTTACATCACTACAGCTGATGCGGGAATGGAAGGAGACGTATTCTGTGGATGTGTTCATTTCAGCAGTAAGAAGACGGTGCTTGGAATTCCTTCTGAGGCTTCGTGCTAAGGAAGAAACCACTGTTGTCTGATACACCAGAAAACAAAGACTGGCATGGGCCGGAAAGTATTTAAGTTAGAGCAGCAAAGATTGTGAGAAAGAGTTTAATTTAATGATGCGAATCACCTCTGCATTCTTGCGAATCTTGGCAGAACATTTGTCCTACTGTTTCTATGGGAGATTACAAACCAACATGTCTCAATCACTGTCAAACATCAAACAGAGGTGAGAATGTAAGGTTGTATAGCTGCCGGTGGAGTTGTAAGGCTCCATATCGTTCATGGCCTGTGCACAGAACGCAAATACCGTAGACCCAGAAATATGTCTTCTAGGATGACAATGCGCCATGCCAAATTGCAGAGCTAGCCGAAGAATAGATGAAGAAAGATGGAGTGGAGGCGATGGAACATCTCCAGATGCTGGCAAATTTAATGCCTGCGAGATGCATGCAGTAAAAAAAGACATGCTAGTCAACCAAACCACTTTAAATTATGTGCACGGTCTTTTGATGAACCACTACAACAAACTAAATGTTTTGATTAAAAGTTTGCCAGTCCTACGCCGTCTTAAGCGACATCACGGTTATAATGTAGTTTTCTGGATGATACCGTCCAATAAGGACTTAATGAGTGAGGTATAAAAATAACGGCTGATCTGCCACAAGTACGGCACTTTTGAGAATCAGCTGTGCAGGAAATTGTAGATTATTTTGTATATATACAGGGCCTGAGCGGCAAATCAGAGTAAGGTAAGTATTTCCCATGGTGATGCAGCATTTGTTCACAGCGCTGTTTATTTCCTGTTGATTTTCTCCTACGCACTATTTGTTCGGTTGCAGGGCTAATTGGCTTTTCTTTGCGTTGATATCCTTTTCAACTGCGTTTTTTGCTCGTCTTCCTCACGGCCTTCATGTCACGCTTCGTTCAACACGTTTTTACCACTCATTGTTCTTTAACCTTCGCTTGTATCGGCCCGTAGCCTAGAGGTAACGAGGTTGTCTCGTAATCTTGCGGCGCGGGTTCGAATCCGCGTAGGGGTGGGCGTCCTCTTGGTATATTCAGCCCGCATGCGACTAGTGCTGGTCGCACAGCAACAAAGCGCCCTTACGGCATACAGCTGACACATTATTATTTATTAGCCTTCGCTTGTTATTTTTCACCTATTTTTGCCACGTTCCTTTTTCTTGTGATGACACTTGATTGCACTACGGTTTTCCGTGTTGGGCTGTCTTCTAATGTCAATGTACTGTTCAGTATTTTTGACCTGACTGCCGCTTACGGCTTTTTGTTGTTTCTGGTTATTTACACTGCAGTCGAATTTTCTCGCCGTTGAGAAGAAGGAAAATGAATTTGTCAGCGAGAAAGCTAGTGAACTGGCGCGCGTTGAACAAATTTACGAGGACACACAGCGCAGCTTGGTATGGTGCTTGATTGGCCAACTACTCACTCTCGATTTGCTTCATTTTCGACACACTTATCATTTTCTTATCTGGAAATGTACCTACACATAATTATGGGCTTTTGCACAACCGCACAGATGATTTCTCTACTGTGTTCATATCCTTTTCAGCTTGTTTGTTATCGTAATCACTTCAACGGTATAGCACCGTGTTGTTCAGCCTACATGTCCTGCATTACATATTTTCGTGCTGTTCGTTTAGCAAACCACAGTGCGGACATTTGATTTTTATTTGCGTTGGCAATCGAGCGCGAAGATCTTGTGTGCGATTGCGACATGCGAATGTAGTTGGGCATTGTTTTGGACCAGTGATTCAAATGCGTTGTCGACTATCGGTGTTTATCAGGTGCACAGGTCCACACATCGTATTTTCTTGCATGGTGTTTTCAACATTAATTACCATTACCCATTGGGTCAGGGGCCACCATCTATGCGAAAGACCTTTGTTGTGCAGGTCAATGTTGATCCTGCTTTTTTGGTCTCGGTAACATTTTGCTCTATTTACTGGGATAAGTAAACACTACTGCACTACGTTTATGCTTTGAGCATGGACTTCGCTCGACTTCCTGTGCTTTTATCAACTCTCAAACACACATTTCTATGTGGCTATGACCGCAGTATTTTTCTCTGCCTGTTTACCGATACAACCAACATATGCTAACGTTTACATTGAAATATACACTACCGCTGTTTTCATATCGCTGGCTAAGAATACATCAATTGTACCCGAGTTTTGTGTTCGCACGCAATTCCCCTTACTTTCAACTATATCTGGTATCCTTTAAGATAGCAAGAACAATTACCATTTGGGTGGGACAACATGAATACAGATTATTTCGTGTCTGAATTCAGGTTATGTCGCCCAAATGTTGTTGGTTCTTAATATCCAAGTTTTTTGAGGGGAAATGGCTGCATACAATTCTATCTGGTATACGTCGGCTTATTTTTGAATAACCTATCTCTTGCTCTCATTCGCTGCGTTCCGGCTGGCTCACTCGTGCCAAATGATTCAGTGTACAGCTGCAAAGCATTTTCAGAAAACAAAATGGTCCTGAACTCACTGATACTGCACGTTATAGCTCATGCTACCGTCCATCTATGAAGTTGTTTTGACGCTGGTCTATGACCATTATAGAAACCTACGAAAATGGTACCGCATCTGTTAAGTTTTACATACATAATCTTCTCTAGTTACTATTGATTCTTTTACCTCTTGTAGATACTCATTTTTCTCTTTACTCTTAATGGAAGCCCAAAAATTTCATGTATTTACGGTGTTACTATCGTTATATCGCTCTCATTTGTTAGCATGAAACCGAAAAGGAACTTTCTGCGGTCAACCAACGTCTGGAGTCAGCCAAAATGATCAACACACAGTTGGAAGTTGTTCGTGGTGAATTGGCCGAAGCTGTACGTCTCTCTATTATTTTGTTTATCTCTTGTGCCCAGTTGTAAACTTGACTTACTGCTAGCATGTATCAATTGCAACTTCAACATAAGTCGAAGCGAACATTCCGTCTTGATCAGTCTGATGTAAAATTCGAGCTTGAACTACTAGTTGGGACTTGATATCCTTCGTTTGAGAGACTATTTCGGCACATATGCATGGAGTGCGAAATCGAGGGAGGTCTTTCGGTGGTCAGCCTCGTCGGAATGGATTTCCAGCATGTTTGAAGGGTCATCTGAATTTGGATAGTACTAGGATCAGTGTTTTGTGTACGGACCACACTCTCCGATTCCCTGCTCTGATGGTGCCGATTACTATTTATTATTTCAGTGGTTTGACCAACTAGCTAGTAGGAATGATTTGCATTATGAGTTCCAATGCAGAGTTTGATGGGCATCTACGATCGTATTTGGCAATATCTTGTTACTGTGCTCAGCCACAAGTGCCTTTTATTCAGTTGGTATCCTATTTACAAGGAACTACCTTTCTCGTGGCATCAAACAAATTAGCAATTGTTGCTTTCTTTTCCCATCAGAGACAACCGTTATACTCTTGCTCTCTGCCAATCAGACTTGTGTTTATACTCCGTATATGAGTGACCTCCATCGGTGATTTTTACGACTACTAAGCTGTCAACATATCTGTGAATGTGATGGTATGGTCCAGCCGCATGGCGGCGGACTATTAAGCCCGCTCTTCTACCTCATGTTTTTACTGTCCTCACTTCTAATCTGAATGCTTTTCAAACTTCGTTTCTCTGTCATCTGCACTCTGAAGCTTATGTTATCACAAGAACTCCGGACATCGCATCGTGTTTCGCGGCATTTATGTTTCTTCTTCATGGATAACTCGTGACATTCGCTTCATTTATCTTAGGAAACCGTACACAAGTTTAACTCTCATCGCTTTTCGTATGACACTGACATCACCAGTCTAGGACACTGCAGGTAGCCGTATTTTATAATCGTACAAAATTTATTTTCTGCTGAAGCATATATATATATATATATATATATATATATATATATATACACGTGCCGACGTTCTGTGGAGGCTGCAGTGACAAGAAATCCGGAACCGGAGAGCGTCAGCCACAAATGTTGTGTTTATTATTCTTCATCGCATTTGGGCTACAGTGACATGCTTAGCTCTTTCCACATTATACTATATTTGACCTCTTCCACATATTTCGTTTATTTCGCACGTTTTTTCTCGCATTCCCTTTCCATGTTGGTCGGTTGATATCCCCGGATTTACACTAACACTTGTCCATCACCCTAACAATAGATCGTAATTCAGACTCGTTTTTTATTTGCTTAGTTCTGTCCTTCTGTCGCACTTTTACGGTTCAGTTTGAGGAGTAGTTCGTCGCATTCCCCTCTTAGTCAGCAGGTTTTGACACGTCTGGAGAAGCACCAGACAGCGCTGTTTACACCTTCTGGATCTCGTCAGTGGTGCGCCTTCCTCGGACCTCTGCCGGGTTCCGACCTCACGACCTCCGGACGCCAGTAGCTTGTGCCACTAAGCCATGGGTGACGACCGTGGACCTGCATGACTGGCGGTTGACTACGATACAGCTCGACTTATCCTCCACTGCCATGCTAGTTACGAACTGTGCAGTGGACAGTAGTTCGCCCCATGAACTAGGGCTTTCTGCGCAGCGGCTGTGTACGACAGCACTTCGAATCTCTACGGACGGGTTTTATTTTACTAATGCATAATGGGGATTTTTGTATAGTTTCTGAGGTACTTCGTCACAGTTCGTGTTCAAACTGTGTACCTTCAAGAGTGAGCACGGGAAATGAGGACTGCAAATCCTGGAGCAGCACTTAACATTTCGACGGGGCGATGCACGTTCCGTACTTAGATACCTCAATCGCAATACGCTTTGGAATGATTTACATACGCTACGAGTCGTCGAAAAGCCGATGTCTTCAGCATAGTCTAAGTCGGTTGCTCGCTTACTCGGTAGTGGATGCAGGCTTAGATTTTGGTAACCTTCCTGAGCTCTCGACATGATGTCTTCAATTGCAAAATTGAAGAATAAGGGGGATATAGTGCATCCCTGACGTACTCTGCTTTTGATTGCAAAGGACGAAGAAAGCTTGTCATAGACTCCCACTCTGCCGGAAACGTGGAGGTAGAGTCTGCGCATGATTGCAGTATACTTTTCCGGGAGCCCGTTCCATAGCAAGTAACACCATAATGCAGGTCGATCAACTGAGTCGAATGTTAGAGGTGGCGGTGTTCAAGGAGTTGACGAAGCGTGAAGATTTGATCCACATACCCACATCTAGGATGGAAGCCAGGTTGTTCTTTCCCTTACTTGATTCACGAATCGGGGATAGTTGACAGGGTAGACTGGAGGATAATAGCTTGGAGGCAACCGAAATAAGACTAATCCCTATGTAATTGGACAATAACTGATTCATCCCAGGAAGAAGTCACCTTTTCTTCGTGCCTGATTTAGGAGAGTTCTGAGATTAGCTGTCTGATAAATGCGCGGCCATGCCTGCATAACTCCGGAGAAGGTCCGTCTGATCCGGCAACCTTGGATCTTTTCAATTGTCGAATCGCAAGACATACTTTCACTTCGCTAAGTGTATCAAAAGTGACGACCCAGGGCGGGCAGCTAGGTTCACATGGCATACAAGTGGACAGTGAGGGCCAGTTGGACTGGGAATGAAAATACTCGGCCCATTGCTCCAAGCGTCTCTGTAGGTTGACAATCAGCGAACCATCCGCTTCGCAAGTAGTCTCATTGACACTAGGCTTTCTGTGGCCAATGGATCGAATGAGCTAGAAGAGCCTGCGAGGGCAGCGGCCTCCATTTCCGCATTACGCCGAGACCACTAGGCCTCACGATCACTGTGTGGGCTTTGTTTGAGCTACCGACTGACAGAACGGCGCATTACATTACGCTTAGACACTGCCGGGGTATTCCTGCGGAGGTCAAATACATCCAGTGAACGCGTGAAGATCCAAGCCTATATGGGGTACTGAGTAAGGCCACGGACTGACAGTCCGGATGGGATCATGGTCTGCTGCATGGACGTCCTGTGTCCATCAATGTCTTGCGATGGGTCGCAGCCGACTGCACCGGCTCGGGAGAATTGATAGCTCGGCTCGACCGAGGGAGTGATCAGTTTATTCAAATCCACCTTATGGTGCTTCGTTTTTAAGGACTCTCCGAAGCTCATGCAACTGTTATCACAGACAAGAGCATAGCCTGAGTCAAGAAATGTGGACCAGATAGATCTGTATTCCTTTACACTACCCCGCTATCTGTAACTGATTGCGATCTAATCAATCTGAGAGTATGACTAAGTCGTAGAAGGGGCGCCGAATACCGGAACGTCTACTCGAATGCTGTTGCTCGAGAGAAACAGACGATTGTCATCACACCATTTGAGAAATCTCTCCATTATCTGAGCAACTCCCATCGAGCACATGATGACCATCGATGTGACCTGTACATGATGAATGACGACCAACCCGTGCTTTGATGTCCCCAGCAAGGACAATAATTTTGGATTTGCGTGCTCTGCTCAAGAGCTGGTGAAGTTCGCGCTGGAAAACGTCCTTGACCGAGTCACAACTGCAGTCATTTGAAGCCTACGCTGAGACCACAAACGACCTGCGTTTCTTCTCACTCTGTTTGGTCCCCGAAGCCGCATTGCACACAGTCGGCTATTAATTGGAAACCAGTCCAGCAGTGCGGCGTCGGCTTTGCTGCAGCGCTACACCAACGCCAGGCAAACCCATCCCAGCTGCTTCTGTGTCACCAGATAGACATAGGTAAAATATGACTCCGTGGTCGGGGGGAAATCTCAACTCAATCACAGTACTAGGATCTTGCAAGCGTGTTTCGGGAAGTCAGCAAACATCGATGGCGAGGGATTCCAAGGCGCGCGCAAGACCAGCCTGCTGCCCGATCTGCATGAGTGTACGTACATTGAAGCATGCCAGACGAAACGAGGACCGAAGACGAAGGAGGGCCACTGAGCGAGCTCTGTAGGCGTCGACGAAACCATCAAGATTAGAATCATGGAAACGAATCAACAGGTGCCGGATAACAGTGATTGGTAACAGATGAACAGGTGGTGTGCGAACAAGGTATGTTAGTAGCAGAAGCAAAAGCAGTTGAGCGCGGTATAGCAGCTGAACAATCCATGGTTTCGTCGGTAGGCGTGATATTACCCGGTTACTCAAGCTGAAGTAAGAGAGTTGCCTTAGGGGACACCACTCTGTGCCTTTTTTCTGAATAGCGTTCCCACAACACAGCGTGGCGAATTTAAGGAATCACGCCTATTTGGAGTCATTGACTGCTTGCTCCGTCCACACGCCTTTTGTTTGGTAAGACGTCAAACAGCGGCCCAATTTTCCCAATGATATCAGCACACACGTGCTGGAGTACAATGCACTACTAAGGCGATGCAAGGGGCAGTGACTATTGAGAATCGGGTCATATCCTCTACGCCGCAGTGTTGTTAAACAGACGTTTATGGCTACTCACGTGAAGAACGCTTGCCAGTCAAAAACCTGGATCACTGCCGCCGAACTCTTCGCTGAAACGGACTAAACCCGAACCACAGCTGGCGTCGCGAAGAATTAGTTCGGCAAACCAGCCACTTCTGCGTGGTTTTCTTATATTTAACCACCCGTAATATTGGGAAGGCTAGCTTCAGGGGACATCCGCTGCCGACAGTGTGTTCAGGACCGCTCTGATGCCATACTATGCACTGTTTGTGGAGACGTACCACATTAGCCAGCCAACCTCATTAATTGAAATATGATAAAATCGGTACAGTCATGGCGACATCTGCATTAGCTCTAGTTTAAGGATCCCAGTGTGTTAACTGCACGAACGCAGAGTATGTATCGTCTTTTATATTGACCTCGCCCCATCATATTATCAAATAATTAACAACTAGTCGCACGGCCGTACTTTTTGTTTTATTCACTTTGTCGGAAAACCGTCGATGCAGTCTTTACTACGTGCAGTGAACGGTTGCGCGGTGTAAATTCTCAATAAGCTTTCAGCTTCGGCGAGCCTTTTAACTCGCGTATCTTCCGCATGTTTATTCAGCTTCCCGAATCTATTCGTTGTATTTACACACTGAAAATGTTGTCTCTTGTATAATGCCATTCTGAGGATATGACGAATCATCTACCTATCCTATATGCTCTGTATATAATCCTCACGTTGCACCATTTGGGACATATCAGATGACTTCGATACTTAGATTGTCGCACCGCTTGCCACTCAGTGTTTCCAGTGGGCTTAATTCTGTCATCTAGTTTGGTCCCAGCGACTCAGAGTACTGCTGCTCCATAAGATAACGAGGTTAAGTAGAGCCTTTATTACACACGTACCATCACTTGACCCATGTCTGGTTCATGCCTGCGTATCGCGCTGTCCGTTCGCGATTCGCCACTTTTACTTTCGTTTTCCAATGCATTTTTCTTACTTTGCAATCACTTGTGTTCTGTTCGTTGATCTAGCCTTGTCACTTATTCCCTTTAGGTTGCGAATGCCGATCTTGTGAACTCGAGCTGCAGTCTACCTGACGCACAGCATCATCTGGCCACACTAACTGATGAGCAGCAGTCCGTTGAACGGAGTTTACAAGACTTAGAGTGAGAATCACGTGATATTTTACTTCGCTAACATACAGCATCGTTTGTTCTCCTTGCCTTTATACCCACTTGTTGTAAGGGACACATTTCGCTTGGAAAGATTGGGTAGCGTTTTTTCCGGAATCAAATCATCAAGACCGGCCCTGGATAGCAATACTATTTACAATATGTAAGCAATAAAATACAATACAAACCTCAACCATTGCGCTCCTAATGTTAACGGTCGAACCAGAAAGGTATGCTCAAAACCTGTCATGCCTGACGCTTGATCGTGTTACAACGGAGGTCTTATCATTAGGCCCTATATTCTGTTTTCCTGCTAAGAAGGATATTAGACTAGCAATAGAAGCCCTGTTTAAACACGTATGCACACAGACCTCACTACCGATTCCTTGTTCTGAAATGCATGCAGAAGAGTTTAGATCATTTAGTGCATGCATGCTACCAGTACCGATGTGCGAGGATAGTATATAACACCGGTAAAACAAGAACACCTTGAAGCTCTTAACCGTCTGGTTAGAAATGATGAGATCTTACTCACTCCGCCTGATAAGGGCGCGGGCATTGTTATCATAAACAGGTTGGACTACTTGAGAAAAATGGAAGAAATGCTGGCAGATGAAACGAAGTTTCTGTGGGCCATAGGTGAGAAATACAAAACAAAACAGATCGAAGCGCAACTTTGAAACTGTCTTAAAATGCTTCGAAACGATGGTTACATCAACGAAGCCACTTATGGACAACTTGGGTCGGTAGGAACGGTTATTCCAAGGCTCTATGGGCTACCAATAGGTTACATAATTGTTACAGGGTGTAGTTGAGTTGGGGCATTGCGTCATGTTTGAGCTCGGTAGGCACATACTGAGGGTCAGGATGAAGGGCGTCGCAGTTCTTCCTACACTTGTCTAGCCGCGTTCGATACAGCTCCTGTTGTACCCATCTTCTTCTGTTGATTCAGCATTCCGCTTTTTCACTCACGGCGTCTCACGCTTAATCGAGTGCAAATTGTCGGTTTTCATCCACTATTCCGTGGGACGGCCGCACTTACCAGTACCCGTTTTCTTACTTTTCCACGCATTACATGTGGCAAATATCGACGAAGAAAAACGAATGGAATGTAATGAGAAGCCTCTTAGTTTGGAGGATAGTCATTCTCATGGTATTAGCCGACCGGATTGATCGAGTGGACTGACCCTGATTGTCTTGCAAAAGACCGGCCGCGGAGTTAACCAATGCGTGCACTACCTCTTGTCTTCCATCTGCACAGTTTTGTCGTTTGCTTACTTACATTTGGCTACGCTGCAAAGTTCCTTTTTAGTTTGCTCTGCCAAAGTCAATAAAACGTACGGTGGCTGCGTCGTTGTTTTTTGACTTCTGAGTCACCGTCGGATGAATGGTTTGTTCTTGGGTGACCGGCCCTTGCTGAGTACCTTGCACCTGTTTACATGTTGTCGCGAACGATGCAGAGAAAGCACCGGGTGCTTTTTATATTCATGAATTTCGTTTGTAATCCTTGTGAGTTTAGTTTTAGAGACCTTTTTGTACCCGTTAGTGGGTAACTGCACTTGATTTCCTTACACTCCCTCCTTTTACCAGAGTGAAAGTCAGCGTTTTTCAGCAACACGCCACACAGTTGCGTGAACTTGAGACTTTGAAAATGGACCGGAGTTCGAAATTCGAAACGCTACGTAAAATGTAAGCTTGTCAATTTTTCTGATAATCACACAAACATCCATTTTCTTTCTGTTTGACCAATCTTTTTCTACTTCAAACTTTTGCACTTCCTCAGCCGCAGTAGGCATCTTGAAGCTTTGGAGCAAATCTGTGGTACGGGCTCTGTTCCTGCCGTTCTCTCAGAAGCTACCATAGAAGAGGAGTTTGCTTCCGGTAGAGGCGTCCGCAGTTCTTCGGCAATTGGTGGTCCACTGAGGCTGCGACAATCGTTTTTAAAACGTCTCTCCGCCTTGGAACAAGAAACCCGAGAGACTCGCAAGAGACTTGCAAAATCTGAGCAAGAAAAATCTGTGCTTGAGACCAAGGTCAAATTTTCTCGGTCAGTTCTTATAAAACTCAGCTTCTGTTCTCTGTCAGTGGTGGTGACTTACCCGGATCACTCCCTTTACTTTGTGTTCTACTGTTGACATAGCGGACCAACTGTCTGACGAATACCATTTGGGTTGGATATTTTGCGAAGTCTATCGTATGCCTATTCCACGGTTGTGTTCTCGTAACCAATACATTTTACGTCATTTCGTCGAGGCAATTGCATGTCGGATCGAGTTTGGCTAATCTTTAGTTGCTCTTTTGATTTGCCTGTGAGACATGATAGACTTCTACTATGATCATTCGCGTCGTCGTCTGTTGCTGTACTGTCTGGCGCGTGCTTTGCACCATGTGCTTTTATCTCTTTTAGTTGATCTATGCTTGTTGCTCCACAGCGAACTCATATTTATTTCCTCGCACTCATCGCAAAAATTGCTCCACTGCGTCACTCACTTGTGACATCCAACCTGTACTTCATTTGGCTGTCACACAGTCTGCTTTGTTCGGTATTTTCATCTGAATACAGTGGCAACTTTCCTGTTTATATCTGCTTAGCTGCCGCACCTTCAAACGTCGTGTAGGTCGGGTTTTTCCTATGCTGTTTGTCATTTGATGCCTCATTGGCTCTCCGAACGTTTCACAAAGCTGTGAGCTGCATGCCAACGGAGCATCCGCTGGTTACGATATTCGTAGGATCTTGACCCTAATTAAACTTCACTCCTCGACTGTCTGCCTACCATTTCAATCGAGTGTTATGCGCTAATATGTAATACTGTGTGACTAATCTAGCTGCTTCGTGCTTAGCCTTGTCTCGAGTTTTGATTGAATACCTACTATAACTACGACGTAAAATATATCGTGCACTTCACAGTAGACCCTGACGTTACCTGTAGTGTTTTGATACAGTTTACGTATGAATACTGAATACTGAGAAAATGCGGCGAGTAGAGTTGCCTCTGTGTAGGTACATCTAATATCTTTTAAGAAAATCTACATGTTATGATGGTGCTTATTCTCGCAATGAGACTGGACCTTAATGTGGTGCAACTGTTTACATACCTCATTGACCCATTGATGCTTCCGGGCACCTTGAGAGCTACTTCTTGCAGGTTGGTCAATTGTGAGAGATCAGGTCTGGGCGCCCTGGCAGTATCTCAGCCCACATGCAACCATGACATTTTCTTCAAACATAAACTTCATCCTGCATCGGCCGTCGCGCAGATTATCAAGGGTCGCCTTATCTGCTGCATACAGCAGGGAGGATAAGCGAAAACATGCTACTGCTGGCGCCTCCCTTCTTTCTTTTCCACCTGTTTCTCTTACTCCCATCCCGATCCCCATTACCAACCTTCCTTCTATAGTTCTCAGCTTAATTGACAACAACCGAAATGCCACTGGAGTAGAACCATCTGCAGCCACCATCCCACAGCACCTATCGGACGCCTATCGGCAAACGTCCCTTATAAAGCCACGCTATCCCGTTTCCATAGCGACATTCAATGTTCGCACTCTAAGACAAACAGGTCAACCGGCTGCACTCGCACGCACCTTGGACACACTGGGTATTGATGTGTGTTGTGTGTCCGAAACTAGGATCAATGACCCTAACGGGGTTATTGAATTAACTGCACCCGGATTATCCTCTCGTTATCGATTGCACGCATCCGGAGACGCCGATGCAGCACTCACGGGTCAAGCTGGTGTAGGTATCATTCTAAGCTCCAAGGCTGAGCCATTGTTGGTTGATTGGATTCCGGTGAACAGCCGTTTATGTGCAGCCCGTTTGACGACATCAGCTAAGGTGAATTCGCGAAGTGAAACAAAACGCTGTTTGTTCGTGATTTCCGCTTATGCTCCCACCGACTACAGTTCAAATGCTGTCAAGGACACATTCTATCACGAACTGAATGCGCTACTATGCAGTGCTACTAGTTCAGATATTATATTACTTGCAGGGGATATGAACGCACAGGTAGGGCGTCTGAGCTCTTCAGAAGTTCAGCTAGTTGGTAAATGTGGGCTTAACTCCGAACGGACTGACAACGGTGAGCGTCTGCTGCAACTGTGTGCGGAGCACCAGTTGTTTCTTAGTAGCACTGCTTTTAGACACAGTGGGCGCCGAAGTGCCCCTTGGTGTCCTCCTGTAGCTGACCAGCGATGGACCCTAATTGATCACATTGCCATTAGTTACAGGTGTTGTGGTTCCATCCTGGATTGCCGGTCATACTGGAGTACCTGTGTCGACTCTGATCATGCCCTGGTACGCTGTCGTTCCCCATGAACTTTACCGGGAGGCGCACCCAGCGTCCCCTACGATTGGCAACGGAGAAATTGTCTCAGTCCTCGGTCAGGCAAGCCTATCAAGAAGCACTGTATACCGAACTTCCACTGTCTTGTCCTAATGCCATTGAGCTTCAGCGGGATAGGATCTTGGCCGCCATGCACGATGCAGGAGCATCTGCTTGTGGCACTATCCATCGTCACCGCACCAGTCACTGGATATCCGAGAGGTCGGTGAACCTGTTGGAATCTAGAAGACACCTCCCGGCTGGCTCTGAACACAATGTGACCAGACTGGCTATTAGGCGTGAACTAAAGCAGAGTCTACGTGCTGATAACGAAGCCTGGTCGACCAGTATGGCTCAAGAAATGGAGGAGGCAGAAGGAGTAGGCAATTACCGCCAGCTCCCCTAGCTAATCCGCACCACTGGTCCCAAAATAGCAGGCGTCAGTGACAAAATCAAAGACAGCGCGGGTGCGCTGATACACAATAAGGAGCGCCATATGGCTCGTTGGGCTGAACACTTCAAGATCGGTTCAGTTGGCTCCCTGCTCCCAGACCCCTTCCTACTCAGGTGATGCAAGACGAGCCATGGACGGTTAGTTTAGAACCTCCGTCGGAGGCCGGGCTCCGAAACACGATTACAGCCCTCAATCATTTTCGTGCCGCTGGCCCGGATTCTCTCCCACCTGCACTGTTTCAGGATGGAGGTGAGGTCCTCTGCAAAGCAGTGACCTCCTTATTCGAATGTATCTGGAAGGAAGTGTCCCGGTTAACTGGAGCTAAACCCTTCTGTTGGCAATATACAAGAAGGGCAGTCGTACAGATTGTTCTAACCACAGGGGTATTAGCCTAACGCCAGTTGTGACAAAAGCATTGGCCTCGATTATCGTTCGTCGTCTCACCGCTGAACCTGAATCTCAGATTAGGGAAGAGCAGGCCGGTTTCCGCCCAGGACGTGGCTGTATAGACCATATATTCACTTTGCGGCAGGTGCTAGAGCAGCGCCACGCATACCGTAGACCGACAATAGCTGTGTTCCTCGATTTCAAGAGTGCGTTCGATTCAGTCGATCGATTGCGCGGAGAGGTGTTCCCACGAAATAGGCTAACATCCTTCGTGCTCCATACTCGAACACTACAGGCTGCGTCAGGGTCTACGGTGTGCTATCAGATAGCTTTCCAACCACAAGTGGCGTTCAACAGGGTTGTCCGATTTCCCCATTTTTGTTCAATTTTGTCGTGGATTCTATCATGGTGTGTTCCCTTAATTTCACGATATAGCCGTTGAATTGCTGCCTGGTGAAATGTTAGTTGATCTAGATTATGCGGACGATATCGTCTTGCTTTTCGGCGATGTTGGGGCGTCACAATCAACCCTGAATAGCTTGTCCAGAGTGGTCCCATTATTTGGTATGCACTTCGCCCCTGTGTTGCTGCAGGACCACCAGCCACTTGATGACCCCTTGACGCTTGCTAACGAGGAACTCGAGGTGGTTGATCAATTCACTTATCTTGGCAGCTGCATCAGCAATGATGGGCGCATAGAAACTGACGTGAGCTCACGCATTGCAAAGGCCAGAGCTGCCTTCTTGAAGCTGCGGCATCTTTGGCGACAGAAGGGAGTTTCCCTCCGCCTGAAAGGCCGTGTATACAAGGCCACAGTGAGGGCCGTTCTGCTCTATGGGTGTGAAACTTGGCCCCTTCGGTCTGAAGATCTGAGGCGCCTTCAAGTCTTTGATCATCGTTGTTTGCGAAGCATTGCTGGAGTCGGATGGCACCAGCGTGTCCGCAACGATGATGTACGCAGGCGATTACTAGGTGGTGATAATCATGCTAGCTCCTTAGAACAACAGGTGGCACTGAATAAGTTGCGTTGGCTCGGGCACGTGCTACGCATGCCTGGTCACCGCTTACCTAGGAGAGCCTTGTTCAGTCTACCAGGTGTAGGATGGCGCAAGGCTCGAGGTGGACAGAAGTTGACTTGGCAACGGGAAATGAAGTCACTGACAACTAAACTGGGTGCCGTTGGTCCGTCTCGCCTTCCAGGCTGGAGTCCACGTGACTCACCTTGTACTTGGCTTGAGACTTTACAGGACATGGCTCGCAACCGACACCAGTGGCGCGTCTGCTGCCGTCCCCTAATCGGATTGTCTGTTTAAAGTGTGTTTGGTGCTGAGTTATCTGCGGGGTAATGGCTGATTATGACGCGTGGCAGTGAAAGCCGCGAGGAAGCTGTCTCGCCGATGCCGCCTTATCTTTGCATGATAGCCAGCTGTTTGTGACGGTATGTTGTCTACACAAGGTGTAGGCGCCTTGACCCTGAATGTTTGCTTAGGGCATTAAGATTTTCAGGTAAGTCCCTCTTCTCTCCATCTTATTTTTTAATTCATATGTCCTCATGGTTGTATGGCAGCGAAGCATCAGTTCAAATGGCTGATGTACTGCAGTTGCTGATGATGGTGAGGATGATGTTGATGAGGATGCTAATGATGAGGATGATGTTGATGATGATGAGCATGCGCTGTCCGTTTTGGTAAAGCCTGTTTTTGTTTCATACGGATTTCAACTCGTAGCCTGAGTGTACGGCGAGATTTTTCACGGCTAGCGATGGGTGTAACTGTTGGCCGGCAAGATTGTGGAGTCGGCCGTTACCACTCTTGCTCAAGCTCATGAATACCGACTTGACCGCGTTGATCGGAAGGTTAACCTTAACTGATCCCATGAAGA